CCCGGAAATTATTCTGGAAGTATCAGAAGCTCATACGCTTCTTGAGGGCACAGCATGCTCTCCTTGGTGACGTGAGCCTCATCATCTTCCTCCTTTCCTAGGCGAGGAGGCCAGTACCTCTCAGGAGGTGATCTTAACAATCTATGCCATGGAGTAGAAAGAGCTCCAGGATCTTCTGAATTTAGGTTTGAATTCACTGACAAGCTGTGTGATCTTAGGCAAGTTGTGCAACTCCTTTGAACCCCTGTCTCCTCATCTCTAGCAGGGGCAGAATAAAAGGATCTGCCAATTGTTAAGAGAGTTCAAAATAACCAGCCGGGCACAGTGGCTCATGCCTGTAATCCCAGCACTTTAGGAGGCTGAGGCGGGTCAATCACCTGAGGTCAGGAGTTCAAGACCAGCCTGGCCAACGTGGTGAAACCGTCGCAACTGAAATTACAAAAATTAGCCGGGCGTGGTGGTGCACGCCTGTACTCCCAGCTACTCAGGAAGCTGAGACAGAAAATCACTTGAACTCGGGAGGCAGAGGCTGCAGTGAGCTGAGATCATACTACTGCACTCCAGCCTACATGACAGAGTGAGACTCTGTCTCAAAATAATAATAATATACAGATAGTTCTTGGCATCTGGTATGTACTAAATACCCAGTAGCTCTTATGATTCCAGCCAGGTGGTGTCGCTCATTCTCCCTCCCCTGGGTATCAGGTTAGGGAAGTCAAGCCTTTCTTACCCTCGCTTCTCAAAGTGGGTCCCAAAACAAGGAGCACGACCTGCAAGTGCGTTAGGAAAGCAGGCCCACCACACCACACTCTGCTTTTTTTTTTTTTTTTTTTTTGAGACGGAGTCTCGCTGTGTCTCCCAGGCTGGAGTGCAGTGGCGTGATCTCGGCTCACTGCAAGCTCTGCCTCCCGGGTTCACGCCATTCTCCCGCCTCAGCATCCCAAGTAGCTGGGACTACAGGCGCCCGCCACCACGCCCGGCTAGTTTTTTGTATTTTTAGTAGAGACGGGGTTTCACCATGTTAGCCAGGATAGTCTCGATCTCCTCACCTCGTGATCCACCCGCCTCGGCCTCCCAAAGTGCTGGGATTACAGGCTTGAGCCACCACGCCCAGCCTTTTTTTTTTTTTTTTGAGACGGAGTCTCGCTGTATCTCCCAGGCTGGAGTGCAGTGGCGTGATCTCGGCTCACTGCAAGCTCCGCCTCCCGGGTTCACGCCATTCTCCCGCCTCAGCCTCCCAAGTAGCTGAGACTACAGGTGCCCGCCACCACGCCCGGCTAGTTTTCTGTATTTTTAGTAGAGACGGGGTTTCACCATGTTAGCCAGGATAGTCTCGATCTCCTGACCTCGTGATCCACCCACCTCGGCCTCCCAAAGTGCTGGGATTACAGGCTTGAGCCACGGTGCCCAGCCCACACTCTGCATTTTAACCTGATCTCAGTGGCATTCCTTTGCTAGTTAAGTGTGAGAAGCATGGCATCTTAGCTGGTCCAGGCTAGTCCTCAGCCCATATGAGGCCCCACATGCTTGCACCCCAGTGTGAGCATAGCCGAGACCTCCTCTTTAGCCGGTCCTGCTCCTGACTCCAGCCACACAGGAACAGCTGGTGTGTGCTGTGGCTTATGGTAAGCCACGCATCATCCCATTTAATCCTCAGGTGATTCTGGGAGGCAAGGACTGGTCTATTCATTTTTCAAATGAGAAATCTGGCCAGGTGTGGTATAATTCCAGCACTTTGGGAGGCTAAGGTAGGAGGATTGCTTGAGCTCAGGAGTTTGAGACCAGCCTGACCAACATGGTGAGACCTCTGTCTCTAAAAAAAATTTAAATAAATAAATAAAACAAGAGATCTAAGTCTCTAAGATGAAGGAACATTTCCCAAGGTTGCCCAGCTACTCTGTCACAGAGCCAGGATTTAAACCCATTTGAGGCCGGGCGCAGTGGCTCAAGCCTGTAATCCCAGCACTTTGGGAGGCCGAGACGGGCGGATCACGAGGTCAGGAGATCAAGACCATCCTGGCTAACACGGTGAAACCCCGTCTCTACTAAAAAATACAAAAAATTAGCCGGGCGAGGTGGCGGGCGCCTGTAGTCCCAGCTACTCGGGAGGCTGAGGCAGGAGAATGGCATAAACCCAGGAGGCGGAGCTTGCAGTGAGCTGAGATCCGGCCACTGCACTCCAGCTTGGGCGACAGAGCGAGACTCCGTCTCAAAAAATAATAATAATAAAATAAAAATAAATAAAAATAAACCCATTTGAATTTGGGCCACTTGAATCCAGAGCCACAGTCCTGACAAAAATTCTCTCCTTGACCACACTCTTGCCAGCCTCCCTCTGAGCTCCCATCTCCACTAGACCTCAAACTTGGCCTAGAAAAACTGCAGACTTTCAACACAAATGCTTAAGTCCACATCCCCATACTCTCATGAAAAGACTTAACAGTTACATGGTGTCCAACAGCTCAAGACCACATCCCTGGGATGCCCATACCTCCCTGAGAAAGCCCAAAGCTGCTGAAAGAAGTTACTGTTTGTTCCAGCAACATTAGAAGATGAACCCTGTCCCTGAGCCTCCGAGGGAGGGCAGGAGCCTAACCCTAAGAGCCAGTTAGCAAACCCAGACGGGTGTCACGCCAACCACGCTCCTTCCTGCTCTCCATAGTTCCCCTTCCTGACTCTTGAGCCCCCCTCCCAAACACCACTCCTCCCATCACCTACGCACAAATCCAAGTGGAGCTCAGTTCCCACTGGGCCCTGCTCCCTATGGCAATGACTTATGACTGATTAAAACCTGTCCCTGCTGGGTGCAGTGGCTCATGCCTGTAATCCCAGCACTTTGGGAGGTTGAGGCAGGCAGATCATTTAAGTTTGGAGTTCAGTATAAGCCTGGTCAACATGGCAAAATCCTATCTCTACTAAAAATACAAAAATTAGCCAAGCATAGTGGCGCATGCTTGTAATCCCAGCTACTTGGAAGGCTGAGGCAGGAGAATTGCTTAAACCTAGGAAGTGGAGGTTGCAGTGAGCCAAGATGGCACCGATGCACATCAGCCTGGACAACAGAGTGAGATTCTGTTTCAGAAAAATAAATAAAAACCTGTTCCTACCACTTTAGTGTCCACCTTTACCTCTGACAGCTCTTCACCATTGTGTCATCCGTCTAACGCTGATAGGATAGAAAATCCCCTGGGCCATTTCTCCATTCAGTCAACTTGATTAAAAGAAACCCTGTCCCAGGTTACTTGCAGATGTGGGCCCAGGCCGCTGGAGTCTGGGACTCACCTGTCCCAACGCACATCCATTTTGGTAAAATGGACGAAGGGGAGAAATCTGCACCCATGTCACAGCAGGGAAGGCAGCAGAAATACCAACCAGAGCGGTCTCTGAGTGACAGCTCTGGCACACCCAAGGCATTCCTGGGGAACTCTGAAGCCCTGGGTGGTGACAGACAACCCCAGGGGACTTACAATGGGGACATGCAGCAGAGATCGCTGGAGCCTGTTCTTTCGGTGTCACTCCCAGCTGCCGTCTTGAAGGGGACCTGCCCAGACAAGTTGCCTGGAATTGTCTCTTTGCAGCCTCTGTAGGATTGTTGTGGAATGATCTGACAGTATCTGAAATCAGGCCCTGGCGAGCACAGGTCTTGGCATCCAGATGCCATCTGGCCTCCCAAAGTGTTGACATTATGTGTGTGACCCGCAGCACCCAGCCTGCCCTTTCTTCTTGTCAGGCAGGTTTGGCTGAGACACCTCTTCTGGAGAGAGTCCTCCCCTCAGCCTCCAGCCCCAGCAGTGCTTGCCCCATCACGTGCCCAGGCCTCCGAGGCACTAACCACCATCCCCTACTTGAGATGCAAACCCCAAAGGCCAGCAGTTGGCCTGATTTGTTTACTTGCACATTCCCCCAAGGCTTGGACTCGTGCTGGGCCCAGAGCTGGGGCTCCCTCAACAGTGGTGGGCAGAATCATCTAGCAAAGGTGGAGGGCCTGCAGGGACCTGCCTGTCTGCAGGCAGCATTCCCAGGGTCCCCAGGGCCTCCAGCCCTCAAGGCAGAGGATCTGAGGGAGATGTGGGGGTGCCCACAGCCTGACTCCCATTTTCCTCTCTGCAGCTGTGTTACTGAACAGGCAAGGTTAACCTCAGAGGCCATGAAAAACATTCTTAGGCCCACGAGACAGGCCAGGCCATGACCACTTCCTTTTTTTGAAGAAAACCCCTCCTCCTGGAGCCTAAGGGAGCACTCAGCTGCTGTGCTCCTGCCACACTGGTCAGGAGGCCAGTGTGGCAGGCGTTGTGACAGGCATTTGTTTGGGGTTTAACTTCCTTGAGTAACAAGCAGTTTCTCAAGTGTGGTGAAGGGGGACCTGCCTCCCCACACCCCCGCGCACACGGGTCTGAGGAGCCATTCACGGGCCCCTCGTGGTGCCGATAGTGTAGGGGCACGGTCCTGGCTGGCCATTCTCAGGGAAGGCGGTTCCCACAGGGTCATCTCAGCATGGCAGCCAGGGGGATGGTCCCTGCCCGTCTGGTCTAACCTGTGACAGGTTTTGGCTACACCACCACGAGTTGTAAGACCAGTAGGCTGGGTCCTCACTGCCCCTGGCTCATCTTTGCATATCGCCGGGTTTCTCAAGGAGCTCAGACCACAAGTGAGTGAGCGTTTCCACTTTCCTCAGAGAAGAGAGATTGCACTCCAAAGTGTAATGGCGAAAGCGCCACCACCTCCTGTTCCACCAGATATGATTCTGACTATGGAGCAGGTGGAGGCTGCAGGGGCCTCACATGCCAGCTCCTGGGTGAAGTGTATTTGAGTACAGGGCCCTGGGCTACATAGTGAGGGAAGGCAGCCAACTCGGGAGTTATCGGACCCGTGGCCTCTGCGCTCCCAGCATGTATGAGACTGAGATGACAGCTTGGACCTCAAGGAAACACAGGCGGGAGGAGGCACGAAGGGAACCTCTCCACTTCATTCTCTTTGTATGACACAGAAAGTCCACAAAGCCTCTGAGATGTGTTTTCTTATTCTTTTGTGATCCCAAAACCCCTTTCCAAAACAACATTTAAATGAGTGTTCTGTGCTGTGTGTTCAAATGGAGATAATCAGATGCCAGTGGCTTTACAATGTGGGTTGCATTCCATTTTCCCAGGCGCTCAGGCCCTGGGTCTCCAGGCCGCTGCCCATCGTGGCCACCCCTCTGCTCACCAGGGAGGCCAGACAGGAACCCTGCAGCTGCCAGAGCAAGCATGTCCCACAGCCTTCGGGAGACCTCCCAAAATGTGTCCAGATCCCCACAGGCAGAGAGAGGGACTGAGAGGCTGAAGTGAAGTGACCGTGCCTGCCCAGCCCGGGACTGAGAGCCTGAAGACCAGCTTTCCAGACTCTGTCCTGGAACCCCCTTGGCCCTCAGCAAATCCCCTCCTCCTGGCCTGAAACAGACTTTAGGCTTCTTGCAGAGATGTCTTCTGTGGAGAACCAGAAAGCTTGAGTGCACCCTGACTGTCCTGGGACAGAGCTGCTGAGCAGGGTGCAGGAGCCACACACACTGGATCTTTCAAGGCACGTCAGTGACAGATCTGAGCATGGCTGGTCCAACCAGGACACTGGGCTCCTGCAGCCCCAAGCCTCTAAATGCGGTGCTTCAGCTCTAGCTTGGCCACCGTGGCCCGGTGCACCTCGTCAGGGCCGTCGGCAAAGCGCAGGGCTCGGGCCCAGGTGAAGAACTGAGCCAGTGGGTAGTCGCTGCTCAGGCCCGCCGCTCCGAAGGCCTGGCAGACACAGGGTGGAGGGAGGCGGCCCTGGGTGAGCCCTTGTCTCTGAGGGCCCCAGGAATGATAGCCTGCTTTTGATGGGCCATAACAACCATCTTCCCAGACTTCCCCCGTGGCACCTATGTGATACAATCACTAATATTCCATAGGGCTTCCGTGGGGCCACACCTGCCATCCCACAGCCTCCAGACTCCCCAGGTCCACTCTGCAGGTGCCTTCTGCCCCATGTTGGGGCCGGGGGTTAGGATCTGAGGCGGCGGCCTCCCTGCATGGTAAAGAGCTTGGGCTCCGGGCTTATGAAAACCCAGGTTCATGTGAATTTGAGGTCAGCTACTTGCAAGCTCAGTGACCTGGACAAGTCACTTTACTTTTCTGTGCTTGTTTCCTCACATTAAAAATGGGGGTAGGATGGCACCCCGCACCTTGCTGGGTCATTCTGAAGAGGAAAAGGAAAGTCGCATGCATGGTGAGTGGGTGACACAGGGTGTCTGCCAGGGTCTACGGGAGGCTGGGCGGCTGAAGACAGGGGAGTTTGGCATCTGGTATTGATGGTTCAAATAAGCCAACTGTCTAGTCTGTGCTCACCTGAATCGCACGATCAATCACTCGGGAGGCCATGGATGGGGCGACCATTTTAATCATGGCTATATCCAAGGCTGCAGCCTGTAAGGAAGAGGAGATGTGATTATAAAAGACCCAAGGGCAGCCCGGGTGGCAGAGTGAGACCCCCCGCCCCCCATCTCCACTAAAAATACAAAAACTAGCTGGGCATGGTGGCATATGCTTGTAGTCCCAGCTACTCAGGAGGCTGAGGTGAGAGGACTGTCTGAGTCTGGGAAGTCGAGGCTACAGTAAGCCAAAACTGCAACCCTGCACTCAAGCCTGGACAACAGAGTAAGACCTCATCTCAAAAACAAACAACAGGCCAGGTGCGGTGGTTCAGGCCTGTAATTCCAGCACTTTGGGAGGCCGAGGCAGGCAGATCACCTGAGGTCAGGAGTTCGAGACCAACCTGGCCAACATATAGTGAAATCCAGTCTCTACTAAAAAATACAAAAATTAGCTGGGTGTGGTAGTGCACGCCTGTAGTCCCAGCTACTTGGGAAACTGAGGCAGGAGAGCTGCTTGAACCCGGGAGGCGGAGGTTGCAGTGAGCCGAGATCATGCCACTCTACTCCAGCCTAGGCGACAAAGCGAGCCTCCATCTCTCAAAAACAAAACAAAAAACCAAACAACAAAAAAGACCCGAGGGCAGAAAGCTTGGAATAATGATCAGATTCCCAGGAGGAAGTCAAACACCAGGGTCCACAACAGAGGCCCCAAGGTCTTGCTGATGTGAGCTGGGTGAGGCTGCCCCTGCCTGGTATATGGCTAGACAGCACCCAGGGATGAAGGGCGCCATGTTAGCAACTACTATCTTATGTTGCAAGATGTGAAGCAAGTGCTGGGAGAATGTGGCTGTCTTCCCAGATGACGGGGAACACAGCCAGCACACACTGAAGGGACAAGGGGGAGGGGCCTGTGCTTTGCTCAGGGTCATGGCCAGCTCTGCCTCCAAGCAGCAGTGGACCAAGGCCAGTCAGGGCTCTGGGAAACCGAGCTACAGTGATCTGCCCTGGGGCAGGGTGTTCAAGGGGGACACCCAGCAGCCTCTACCATATCTAGCACGCCAGTGTCAAAGAACCAGGAACTGTGAACCTGGGTTGGTCCCTGACGGCTAAGGATCTTGGGTGGGGGTGGAGGCTGCCCCACAGAAGGCTGGACAAAGCACGGTCAACATGGCATTGTACTTGGTCATCACAGGCACTTAGAAAGAGCCTTAGTTAGCCTGGGTAACATGGTGAGACCCGGTCTCTACAAAAAATAAAGAGGCTGGGCGCGGTGGCTCAAGCCTGTAATCTCAGCATTTTGGGAGGCCGAGACGGGCGGATCACGAGGTCAGGAGATCGAGACCATCCTGGCTAACATGGTGAAACCCTATCTCTACTATAAAATACAAAAAAACTAGCCGGGCGAGGTGGCGGGCACCTGTAATCCCAGCTACTCGGGAGGCTGAGGCAGGAGAATGGCGTGAACCCGGGAGGCGGAGCTTGCAGTGAGCTGAGATCCGGCCACTGCACTCCAGCCTGGGCGACAGAGCGAGACTCCGTCTCAAAAAAAAAAAAAAAAAAAAGAATTAGCTGGGCATGGAGGTGTGCGCCTGGAGTCCCAGCTACTTAGAAAGCTGAGGCTTCAGTGAGCCATGATGTACCACTGCATTCCAGCCTGGCTACAGAGTGAGGCCCTGTCTCAAAACATAAATAAATAAAAGGTTAAAAAGCGCCTTAGTTAATGACTAATGTCACACTTGAAAATAAGCTTCTATTTTGCTAATTCGATATTCAGATGAAGGCCAGTAGAGGGTCCCTTTTCCCTGACTTACTGTTAGGTTGTCCAACACCTCCACCAATGGCCCTGGGAGTCCAGGGCCACCCAGGGGTGCTGTGGCCCCATCAAACCCACTGCCTTGGACTAAGCAGCTCACCAGGTCAGTAAAACACAAAGGCCAGTCCTCTCTTCTTGTTCAATTTTTGAAAAACTGCCAAAACAGCTCCAAGTAGAGGTGAAATAGTTTCTAATGTCAAGAAGCCAGGCTCTCATGCTTTGCTGAATGAGGAGGAAGAATCTCTGCCTCTGGGAGGCCCCTTCATGCCCCTGCCCCTACCTTGTTTCCTGCCAGGTCCATGACGTGGGCAGCTCTCAGCACCAGCAGCCGTGCCTGCTCGATCTCCACGCGCGACTGCGCAATGTCCGCCAGCACTGTGCCCTGCTCCACCAGGGGCTTCCCAAAGGCCACGCGGGACTTCACCTGTCGACACAGGAGATGGGCTGAGGACACGCTGGGCTGGGGGTGGTCACAAGAGGTGGGGGCTGGTGGCCTGAAGAGTTGAGTGGAAGCAGACAGGACACAGCAGGGGAGGAGAGTGAAAGCAGGACCGTGCAGCTTCTCAGCCAAGGTGCCTGTGTGCAGCCATGGGCCATTTCCAGGGAGTAGGTCTGACACACAACCTTCATGTGCGCCACAGCCAGCCATAGCCCACAGGGTACCTGTAACAAATTGCTTCCAAGAACCCTTTATTCCAGCCATTGTACATCTGGGCAGGCCTGGCTACCAGACAGGAGCAGTTACAGATCTGAGCCAGCATCTGGTCCAAGGCTACTCCTGGAAATGAGGGAGTGACTGCAGGCACTGCACACGGCGCAGGCGAAGGGTGCCCTCTGCTGACCGCAGCACCCCTTCCTACCCTGCAGCTCCAGTGGAAGCAAGGTCTCCTCAGCCCCCTCTCTTGCTCCCGGCCTTCTGCTGTGGGCGGCTGTATCTGCAATGGGGATTTTAAATTCTGAAAGTCACAAGGCATCAGAAAAGGTTCTAGGTATTCCTTTTTTTTCCTGTTTTATTGATTATTTTTCCTTCTTTTTTTAATTTTTTTGGAGACAGGTTCTCACTTTGTTGCCCAGGCTGGAGTACAGTGGCATGAATTTGGCTCACTGCAACCTCCACCTCCCCTGGCTCAAGCAATCTTCCTACCTCAGCCTCCTGAGCAGCTGGGACCATAGGCGTGAACCACCACATCCAACTAACTTTTCGATTTTTTGTAGAGACAGGATCTCACTACATTGCCGAGACTGGTCTCGAACTCCTAGACTCAGGCAATCCTCCTGCCTTGGTCTCCCCAAGTGTTGGGATTATAGGCATGAACCACCACACCCAGCCTAGTTTTTTTGTTTTTTAATTTTTTTACTAAAAGAATCTACACAAATAATTTATCTCATGGCAGAAAAACTACCCGTTTTCAGAACAAAAAAAGAGAGGACAGTAATTACGAACACTTAGAATCCCACCATCTAGTCACCTCTAGTTAATATTTGGTAGATATTCTCCTCTATCCTTCTAGACTTTTTGTATATATACTTATTTTTTCCAAAAACAGGAGCCATACTCTACATATTGTTTTGTAGCCTTTTTGTTTGTTTGAGATGGAGTTTCGCTTTTGTTGCCCAGGCTGGAGTGCAGTGGTGCAATCTCAGCTCACTGCAACCTCCGCCTCCCAGGTTCAAGTGATTCTCCTGCCTCAGCCTCCCAAGTACCTTGGATTACAGGTGCCTGCCACTACACCCGGCTAATTTTTGTATTTTTAAAATAGAGACGGGGTGTTTCACCATTTTGGCCTGGCTGGTCTCTAACTCCTGACCTCAGGTGATCTGCCTGCCTCGGCCTCTCAAAGTGTTGGGATCACAGGTGTGAGCCACTGCACCCGGCCAGCCTGCTTAAAACAATAACAACAAAAACAACAAAAAACAAAAACATTATTTTGCATCAAAGCTAACAGCTTGTTTCTTTTTTTTTTTTCCCCCCCAGACAGGGTGTTGCTCTGTTGCCCAGGCTGCAGTGCAGTGGCAGAGTCACAGGTCGCTGCAGCCTCGACCTCCCAGGCTCAGGAGATCCTCCCACCTCAGCCTCCTGAGTAGCTAGGACTATAAATGCGTGCCATCACACCTGGCTAATTTATTCATTTATTTATTTATTTTTGAGACAGAATATTGCTCTTGTTGCCCAGGCTGGAGTGCAATGGTGTGATCTTGGCTCACTGCAACCTCCGCCTCCCAGGTTCAGGCAATTCTCCTGCCTCGGCCTCCCGAGTAGCTGGGATTACAGGCATGTGCCACCACGCCCAATTAATTATATATTTTTAGTAGAGACAGAGTTTCTCCATGTTGGTCAGGCTGGACTCGACCTCCTGACCTCAAGTGATCTGCCCACCTCAGCCTCCCAAAGTGCTGGAATTACAGGTGTGAGCCACCACGCCCAGCCCCACCTGGCTAATATTTTTAATTTTTTAATTTTAATTTTTTTTTTTTAGACAGAGTCTTGCTTTGTCACCCCAGCTGGAGTGCAGTGGTGCGTTCTCAGCTCACTGCAACCTCCACCTCCTGGATTCAAGTGATCCTCCTGCCTCAGCCTCCCAAGTAGCTGGGATTACAGGCATGTGCCACCAGGCCCAGCTTTTTTTTTATTTTCAGTAGAGACGCAGTATCACCATGTTGGTGAGGCTGGTCTTGAACTCCTCATCTGAAGTGATCCGCCCGCCTCAGCCTCCCAAAGTGCTGAGATTACAGGCATTAGCCACTACGCCCGGCCTTATTTTTTATTTTTCATAGAGATGAGGTTTTGCCATATTGCCCAGCCTACTCTCAAATTCCTGGGCTCAAGCAGTCTGCCTGCCTCAGCCTCTCAGAGTGCTTGGAGTGAGTCACCACACCTGGTCACAGTCTTTTTTCAAAAAATTTAAATGTATATAGTGAACAATTTCTCCATGTTAAGGAATAGATTTCCACAGCATCATTTAAAGTCTCACTGTATGTCATCTCGTGGTTCATTTGTCCAACAGTCATTGTTATCCTTATAAGTTGTTCAGAATTTTGCTATCTGAATGAGCACTGTGGTGAACCTCCTAGTAGCAAATCTTTTGTAGATTCCTAATTACTCCAACCAAGTCCTCAGTGGAGGTGCCATGTTCATGCTATGTACTTTCTGGAGACTTCTGTCTGATTCATTCAGTCCAATTGTTCTGCCAGGTTGAATTTAATGCCACATGGGGCTGAAGCACCATACCTGAGTCCACAGACAGGAGCATTTTACTTAGAAAGAAAAAATAACTGGTCAGTCTTAACTAAAAAGGGTGTAAATCACAGGTTTGCTCAGTAATCAAAAATGCAGACTGCCTCTGTTCTTTCAATAGCAGTTCTTGTGAGACACTGGTTTTAGTCTCATGGTATGCGTCACCTTTCTGAAATTGATAATCACCAATTTGAATTCTTGTCCTGGCAGCAGCTGTCTTTTAACCTAGGTTTCCAAACTTTGGGGGCGGTGGGGTCATGGCAGAATAGTTTTCTGGATATGCTGTGGAGGAGGGTGGTACAGGCCAGATGATGGAACCCTAAGGACAAAAACAAGCCACATGGGGTCTCCCTGGTGTCTGATTTATTTATTTGTTTGTTTATTTATTTTTAAAGAGACAGGGTCTCACTCTGTCACCCAGGCTGGAGTGCAGTGGTGTGATCACTGCTCACTGCAGCCCTAAACTCCTAGGTTCAAACGATCCTTCTGCCTCAGCCTCCCGAGTAGCTGGGACCTGTAGTCTGACACATGCCAGCTGACACATGCCATCATGCCTGGCACTTAAACTCTTTCTTTTTGGCCAGGCGCGGTGGCTCATGCCTGTAATCCCAGCACTTTGGGGGGCCGAGGTGGGCAGATCACAAGGTCAGGAGATCGAGACCATCCTGGCTAACACGGTGAGATCGAGACCATCCTGACTAACACGGTGAAACCCTGTCTCTACTAAAAATACAAAAAATTAGCCGGGTGTGGTGGCAGATGCCTGTAGTCCCAGCTACTCAGGAGACTGAGGCAGGAGAATGGTGTGAACCCAGGAAGCAGAGGTTGCAGTGAGCCAAGACTGCGCCACTGCACTCCAGCCTGGGTGACAGAGCGAGACTGCATCTCCAAAAAAAAAAAAAAAACTTTTTTTTGCCGGGTGGCACGGTGGCTCATGCCTGTAATCCCAGCACTTTGGGAGGCCAAGGCAGGCAGATCATGAGGTCAAAAGATCGAGACCATACTGGCCAACACAGTGAAATCCCGTCTCTACTAAAAATACAAAAGTTAGCTGGGCGTGGTGGTGCACGCCTGTAGTCCCAGCTACTTGGAAGGCTGAGGCAGAATTGCTTCAACCTGGGAGGTGGAGGTTGCAATGAGCCAAGATCACCCCACTGCACTCCAGTCTGGTGAGCAAGACTCCATCTCAAAGAAAAAAATAAATATTTTTTTTTTTGTAGAGACTGAGTCTTTCTTTTTTGCTTAGGCTGGTCTCAAATGCTTGGCTTCAAGCAACCCTCCTACCTAGACCTCCCAAAGTACTGGGATTATAGCCATGAGCCACTGCACCCAGACTGATTTTTAATAATGTGCTAGCAGCATGACCTTTACACCTTGGAACCTTGCCCTCTGCTGCTATAGAGCCTGGCCTTTCCGGTCACTTCGACAGAGTGGGTTCTATCCTGCTCTGAATCCAAACTGCAGCAAAGTAGCAGATGCAAAGCAAAGACAGGAATGCAACTTCTTGGCAAGGACATCACCTTGCTTCACCTGCTGGGACTGTACTCAGAAAACAGGTAGGAATTGAAGCCCGACAGCAAAGCAGAAGGTGGTGGTTCTGAGTCAGTGCTAGGCGCAGGAGGAAGCACTCACGCGGGCCTTCATGAGCGCCAGGGCCCTCTCTGAGAACCCGATCAGCCTCATGCAGTGATGGATCCTGCCGGGGCCCAGTCTGCCTTGGGCGATCTCAAAGCCTCGGCCAGGGCCCAGGACCATGTTCTCTTTGGGCACATGCACGTGCTCAAATCGGACTTCACCATGGCCACCTGAAAGACCCAAATGATCACTGTGAGCAGTTGCCATAGTCATTTCCCTTGGATGTGTTTCTTCCTCACCTTAGTCTGGGTTATCTGCTGGCAATGTCCCTGCCCTTTATTTAGCTTTCTTACTAGGACATGGTTAAAGGGAAAAGGATGGCAGGAAGGAGCCTGTTAAACACAGAAAATGAATCACTGATTTATAATGGCAAATGAATATTCTGTGATTCCTTTTATAAAAACATAATGCCACCTTAAGCTGAAGCTCCTAGTGGTTTGTGATAATGTAGTGATCCTATGAAAACACTGAAAGGAAAAACGTGAACACTGTTAGCAGAGAACCAAACTGGGAGCGGACCAAACCAGGGCTGTGACCTAGAGGTCAGCTGTACACACTGGGGCCTGGAAGAGTAGGTCTGGGGTCCACTTCCTGCCTCTGCCCTGTATGGCTTCCTGCGTCACAGACTCCTGCTTACCTTCTAAGCTTAGAAGAGGGAAAAAATGGCCGGGCGCGGTGGCTTAAGCCTGTAATCCCAGCACTTTGGGAGGCCGAGACGGGCGGATCACGAGGTCAAGAGATCGAGACCATCCTGGCTAACACGGTGAAACCCCGTCTCTACTAAAAAAAAAATACCAAAAACTAGCCGATCGAGGTGGCGGGCGCCTGTAGTCCCAGCTACTCGGGAGGCTGAGGCAGGAGAATGGCGTAAACCCGGAAGGCGGAGCTTGCAGTGAGCTGAGATCCGGCCACTGCGCTCCAGCCTGGGCCGCGACAGAGCGAGACTCCGTCTCAAAAAAAAAAAAAAAAAAAAAAAAAAAGAAGAGGGAAAAAATGCATAAATGCCTGTCTGAAATCTGCCTGCATGGTTGATATTCATGTATGGAAATGCAATGTAGGAGCATGTGACTCTCCAAATATCATACTGTCAGACGTGGGATGTGGCAAGTCCTGAACAAGAGCAGGGGCTCCCCAACGGCATTTCCTGGCGACCAGACCCACACCCAGCGGTGACACCGCCCCTGGACGTCTCACCTGGTGCATCCTCCAGTCCATACACTGTCAGAGGCCGGATGATTTTTATCCCTGGGGTATCCATGGGAACCAAGAGCACGGACTGCTGCCGGTGTCTTGGTGCATGTGGGTCTGTTTTTCCCATAAACACACAGAGTTGGCAACGAGGATCCAGGATGCCTGCCAGGAAAGGAGAGAGACAGACCTCATCATCTGACACCAGGGCCATCAAATCTCTACACACGTGGTCCTGGCCCAAGAAAGGCACAGCAAGGAAGCAGACAGATCAAATCTTTAAGGCTCCATGTAATCAGATGAGCATCTGCAGACTGATGACCAGAAATAAGAGCAAATTGGGTTTTGCTCTTATTTCAGTGAGGAATGAATCCAACATCATAAGAGCAAGTTTTTAAAAGCATCACATAGAGCAGAAAATATAATTTAGAGATAAGAGGACGAAAACTGCTACTTGATTCCTGCCAGCTGGCTCGGCTCCCACAGGTGTGCACACATAATGGCTCTGGGCCTGGGCCTTGGAATCAGGTGAACCTTTGACTCTGGGTTCTCTACGTGCCAGCTAGGGGCTCATATCCCAGGCAAGGGACCTAAGTCTGAGTGTGGTTTCCTCCTCTGAAAAATGGGGATGCTCATTCTTAATGTCCAGGGAGGTATGGGCTCTGGGAGGTAAGCTCCATAGCTACTTGTGGGGGCCCTGTAGAAGTAACACTGGACACTCCCTAAGCGTCAGCATTGTCATTAACCCTTAGGATGTAACACATCTGATCAAGGAGCCAGGAAGCCACCAAGGAAGGGGAGCTGCCCAAGGCAGAATGAACAGCAGGAAGTGGAGAGATTCCTGGGGTCACATGCAGGGAGGCATCCGTCCATGTGTGGGCACCGGGGAACGTCCCCGCCCTGCAAAGCGCCGCCTCTGAGAACAGCGTGCTCCATGCAGTAACCCTCCTATTCTCCCAGCTGCCTCTGCTGGGGGCGCTAAGTGACAGAATCTCCTTTGTGTCAACTTGAAAAAGCAGAGGCTCCTCCCAGGCATTGAGAGGTGTGCCTATCAGTGCAGACTCCCTGATGTGCATTTGAAAAGTGCATTTTAGGCCAAATACCTGTGATCCACCATTTGTGACCATTTATGACATAGAAGCTGTCCTCCTCTCTGATGGAAGCCTCAATATTGGTGGCATCTGAAGAGGCAACCTGAGTGGGGAGCACATTCTAGTCAGAGCTGCCAGTAGACAGCCCGTGTTTCCTGCGGGGCTGACAACAACAGGGCCAGGCAAGTGGGTGGCAGCCCAGGCAAGGTACCTGGGGCTCGGTCATAGCAAAACAGGAGCGGGCTTTCCCCTCCAGTAGAGGCATCAGCCAGCGAGCCTTCTGCGCTTCGGTGCCATACCTCACCAGCAGCTCCATGTTGCCCGTGTCAGGTGCAGAGCAGTTATATATCTGAGAAGGAAAAGGAGCGTGACCATGACTGTCATGTCCTCTTCTAAAAAAAATAGGGTCAAGCTCTGTCACCCAGGCTGGAGTATTGTGGGACGATCATGGCTCACTGCAGCCTCGACTTCCTCAGCTGAAGCCATCCTCCCACGCCTCAGCTTCCCAAGCAGCTGGGACTACAGGTGTGCACCATCACACCCGACTAATTTTTTATTTTTTTGTACATACAGGGTCTCACTATGTTGCAGAGGCTGGTGTCGAACTCCTGGCCTCAAGTGATCCCCCACACTTTGGTCTCCAAAAGTACTGGGATTACAGGTGTGAGCGACCATGCCTGGCCTTCTCATGTCAATATTTCAAGCTTCAAGTTGGATGGGCATGGTGGCTCACGCCTGTAATCCCAGCACTTTGGGAGGCCGAGGTAGGTGGATCACCTGAGGTCAGGAGTTCGAGACCAGCCCGGCCAACATGGTAAAACCCTGTCTCTACTAAAAATACAAAAATTAGCCAGGTGTGGTGGCATGTGCCTGTAATCCCAGCTACTCGGGATGCTGAGGCAGGAGAATCACTTGAACCCGGGAGGCAGGGGTTGCAGTGAGCCAAGACTGCGTCACTGCACTCCAGCCTGGGTGACAGAGCGAGATTCCATCTCAAAAAAAAAAAAAAAGTTCAAGTTCATGCTGGTGCTTCTGAATCTGGTCTATCTGTTTAGGAGTGAGTTCTTTTGAAGATCAGGATGTTCCCACACACTGAGGAAAACTTTAAAGAAGGTACCTCGGGGGCATACAGGGACGTGCCCATGAGCTCACACAGATGTGCATATTCCACATTGGTCAGTCCTGCTCCGTATTTTTTCTCAGGATCAGCCTCCAAGGGTAGAAAAAGGTTCCAAAGTCCTTCCGCCTTGGCTTTCTCCTATCATGGGGAAAATAAGTCAGGAAACCATAGTGGAAGATTTCATTTTATTTTGAACCACGGAAAACAATGAAATGGATTGGAGGAAACAAGGCAGACAACCAAACATGCATGTGTGCCCAAAAAAATGAATGATATGAGGAGCTGGGTGTGGTGGCTGCACGTGTGGTCCCAGCTACACAGGAGGCTGAGGTGAGAGGATCACATGAGCCCAGAAGTTTGAGACTACAGTGAGCTATGATCACACCACTGTGCTCCACCCTGGGTGACTAAGCAAGACCCTGTCTCAAAAAAAAAAAAAAAGAAAAAAAGAAAAAAGAGATGAGATGGTGGCTCATGCCTGTAATCCCAGCACTTTGGGAGGCCGAGGCGGGCAGATCACGAGGTCAGGAGTTTGAGACTAGCATGACCATCATGGTAAAATCCCATCTCTACTAAAAATACAAAAATTAGCTGGGCACGGTGGCATGTGCCTATAATCCCAGTTACTCGGGAGGCTGAGGCAGGAGAATCGCTTGAACCTGGGGGGGCGGAAAAGAAAAGTAGATGATGATTGCATTATGCTCCTGAGGATCTCAAGTAATTTCAAAACTAACACAATCCAAGGTTCACCTGATAAGGAACAGCAGGTGTTTCTGTTTATCGGCTTAAGTGACAGCACTGGGAGACAACACAGAAACTCAGCTCACAGTGGATTTGGCCCTCTAGCTGTGACATTACCGGCTCTCTAGAGAGAGATGTATTAGCTGATACAGCACTGTTTCAAATTTATGTAATTCAAATATGCATGAGATAGGCCCAACCTGCCCTGGCTTTCTAAGGCCAAGCATTCTGCTGCCTGGGCTGTGCAGTCACACCTGAGCCATCTGCCTGTGACACAGGCACAGCAAAAGCAAGAGATGGAAACTGAGTCATGAAGAGCTAGCTGGCTCTTTCTGAGATGATGGAAGCAAAGATCATTCAACTCGGCCCTCCTGTATCTTCACTGCCTGGGATGGCTCAGGTGAGCCCGGTGGGGTTGGGGAGGGTGTGCCATGGTATTGGGGTCTTACCACCTCACCACGGCTGCTTTACCTTGAGGTCTTCGATCAGTGGGGAGGGGCTCCACCTGGCTGCTGAGGCCTGGTGACTCTGCAGCTCTGGCTCCGCAGGGTACACGTGCTGCTCCATGAAGCGCTTCAGCCGGTGATACAGCTCTCTGACAGGTGGAGAGAGGCTCTCTGGAGAGATAACCAGACCTCCCCTTGAGGCATGAGCTGGGGAAGCTTCTGGAACGGAGCTATAACTCCTGGTACCTATGGGGTACCACTGGGACTGGGACCTAGCCCACGTGTGGCAGGACCTTGTTAACGGATTTTTGAAGGGCATCTCTTTGAAAACCCGGAACCCTTCTTTGACTGCGAAATCCCATGCCAGGTTAGACACAAATTCGGTCAGCTTTCCAGTTTGTTCCGCATGCGCGGAGCTTGCTTGCCCTAAGCAGAATCAAAGAAAAACAGTGATTACTCCCACACAACCCATCACAGGGATGTTAACATGTGATGACATTGTCACTTCAACAGGTATTGTCATTTGCTGAGCCCTTGCTAAGTACCGAACACTAAGAGCCACTATAGCTCACTGAATCACCAAAGCAATACAACTGCTTTCACCTGCACTTTGCAGGCAAGAAAACTGAGTCTTAGAGAAGGAGGTGACTTGGACGAACTGGAAGTTAGGGGGCTGGGGGCCAGAGTCCAACTCAGGACTTCCTGCTCCCTGCTCTTGATCTCTGCTTTCCTAAAAGACTACATTTAATCAGTAACATCCCAGATCACCTCTGCCATTGCCAGTGGGCTATAAGAAGTCCTGCATCCTAGACCACCCTTGCTACAAAATTGATAACAGCAATGCCACAACTGACTAGAGGAAGAGCCAATTTCTAGACACAACTGTCTCTGGATGGAATCAACTCCAGCATCACTCAACTCACTATTTGGCTCTCGCACCGTCTCTTTCTTCTTTTAAAATGTGCATCAAGACTTTTTTTACAAACACATTTTTCTCCATTAAAAAAAATTAAGGTGGCCAGGTGCGGTGGCTCACGCCTGTAATCCCAGCACTTTGGAAGGCCAAGGTGGGTGGATTACTTGAGGTCAGGAGTTTGAGACCAGCCTGGCCAACATGGAGAAACCCTGTCTCTACTAAAAATACAAAAATTAGCCAGGCATGGTGGTGCATGCCTGTAATCTCAGCTACTCAGGAGGCTAAGGCAGGAGAATCACCTGAACCTGGGAGGCAGAGGTTGCAGTGAGCCGAGATCGTGCCATTGCACTCCAGCCTGGGTGACAGAGTGAGGCTCCCATCTCAAAAAAAAAAAAAAAAAATTAAGGTGTGGTGTACACACACCTCCTTAATGTAGAACTCTGCAAGTCTTAACAAACCCATAGTTGGGTAACTACCATTGCCATCAAGATACATAATATTTCGGCCAGGTGCAATGGCTCATGCCTGTAATCTCAGCACTTTGGAGGCTGAGGGCAGGCGGATCACCGGAGGTCAGGAGTTTGAGACCAGCCTGGGCAACATGGTGAAACCCTGTCTCTACTAAAAGTACAAAATTTAGCCACGTGTGGTGATGCACACCTGTAATCTTAGCTTCTGGGGAGGCTGAGGCAGGAGAATCGCTTGAACCTAGGAGGTGGAGGTTGCAGTAGGGTGAGATCATGCCATTGCACTCCAGCCTGGGTGACAAGAACAAAACTCTGTCTCAAAAAAATAAATATTTATTTTTAAATAAGAGATAGGGCCTTACTATGTTGCCCAAACTGATCTCGAACTCCTGGCCTCAAACAATCCTCCTGTCTCAGTCTACCAAACTGCTGGGATTACAGGCATGAGCCACCATGCCCAGCTGAGACAGCCATTTGCATGCAGCTTTGGTGTTAAAGATAGTTTAAACTATTCCTTACAGAGTTAGGAACAAATTCTTTGCTACCCTGCCGAGAATTAGCCCACTGGACCTCACTAGGTCTCTACTGAGGACCTTCCGCTATGAACCTAACCCAGGGAAGTCAGTGGGAAACCAGATAGCCCCTTCCTTGCAGACACACAGTGGGGGCTGAGAAGTACAAGGGGCTGCATTTTCCCCTTATTCCTCGGACTGCACACAGCACATTGAAGGGGAAAGATACTTCCCTTATGTTCCCTGTTATTCATAAGGATTTTCTTCTTCTAACAGAGTAAGAGGTGTATACTTAATTTTCTTCTATTTAGTTGGCTCGCACTCTGAGACTGCTACTTTGTCTCTGAAAAAGTCACTTGTATAAGCTTGGATTGATTTCGACCTATTGCTTCTGGTATATTTCCCAAATGTAGTTCTGGCAGGAGACCACATCACTGGTGTCCACTTAAGTTGCAGTCGTAAGTACTTTATAGAATTTCAGTGGCCATCTGCCAGAAATCTAATTTCTGCACCCACTTATTAAGGAAGGAGAAGGACACATGTGCTGGGCAGGTACATACTGTAAATCTTCTGCTCAGTGGGCTCTGGTCTCTCTCATCCCCTTCCCAATCTAATGCTGATCTGAGGTCTTTTGTAAATGACACCATAGAGAGAATGTCTTGGAAACAGATACCCCTTCTCTAAGCTCCACTTTCCCTGGGTAGTACCAAATATTTCAGCTGTTCAAACAAAAGTGATTTTAAAGCTAACTGTAGAAGACAAATGTACAAAAGTAATATTTATATTCATATAGTTGGTTTTTTCCCCATTCATCATATATTTTTATGTTATTCTTTCAAAAAATGGATTTTGTTGTTTTTATGTGAGAAAACTAAGCCATTTCCTCAGTGTGTCTGGATGGCTTCCCAGGGGGAGGGAAAAGAGTGCACAGTAAGATAAGAGGAATAAAGGCTTGAACAAACAGACATTTTTCTGTCTGGTGGCAAAAGGTGGGGTGTTTTAGCTCTGGGCCGAGAGAAACCAGAAGCCACGACGATGGCTCACAGGATCTTAGAAACATGTCAAAGGGCTTCCTGAGAGACAGGCTGAGGACACTCAGTGGTGGAGATTCTAAAATGGGCAAAGTCTATTAAGCTCTTCCCAGGTCACTGGAGCAGAGCAGGGAGAAAACTCGGCAGCCTGCTAGGAAATGTCGGAAGCAACCAGGCCTATTCATCACCATAAGGACTTAGAGCCATTCTGTTTAAGTAAATATTTCTGGTTAGTGTTTATCGGAAAACCATTAAAAAAATGTGAAATGGTGGCTTACAGCTGATACTGTATTTTCCCAAAAGAGGGAAAATATTGTTTCCAGAAATTCCTGCTTCCTGCATCCCCTGCTTATCAGACCAGGTACAGTTAAACTAGAAATTCTCTGGGTACTGGTTTTTCTCCAGACAGTTTTCCCCACGACTGTGTATTTCCAGGACCACCTAGCACAGTGCTGGCTTTTAGTAGAGGCTCATATACTTGGGAATGAATGATCAGTTTTCCTACTGCAACTGCTTCTCTCAGAAGACTCTGGCAACCTGGCTGGGAACACAGGCTGCCAGTAAGCTTGGGGAGTCGCTGACTGCAAAGCTAAACACTCCCTCAGCACCAGCAAACCCCATGATGAGTTCCTCTCTCCTTCTTTCTCCTTGCCTTTTGTTTTTAAGTTTCACTTTTGGAAAATTTCTTTTTCTTTTTTTTTGAGATGGAGTCTCGCTCTGTCACCAGGCTGGAGTGAGCTGTGGCACAATCTCGGCTCACTGCAACCTCTGACTCCCTGGTTCAAGCTATTCATCTGCCTCAGCCTCCCGAGTAGCTGGGCACGCGCCACCAAGACCAGCTAATTTTTGTATGTTTAATAGAAACAGGGTTTCACCATGTTGGCCAGGATAGTCTTGATCTCCTGACCTTGTGATCCCCCGCCCTGCCTCAGCCTCCTAAAGCGCTGGGATTACAGGTGTGAGCCACTGCACCCGGCCTTTTGTTTTTGTTTCTTTTTTTGAGATGGAGTCTCGCTCTGCCACCCAGGCTGGAGTGTAGTGGCATGATCTCTGCTCACTGCAACTTCCGCCTCCCGGGTTCAAGTGATTCTCCTGCCTCAGCCTCCCATGTAGCTGGGATTATAGGCGGCATCACCACGCCCAGGTACTTTTTATATTTTTAGGGGAGATGGGGTTTCATCATGTTGGCCAGGCTGGTCTCAAACTCCTGACCTCAGGTGATCCACCTGCCTTGGCCTCCCAAAGTGCTGGGATTACCAGCATAAGCCATCATGACTGGCCTCCTTTTGGAAAATTTCAAAGACACACAGGAGTAGAGAGGAGAGAATAATGAGCCTGAGGGTTCTATTGCTCACCTTCCGCAATGATTGATGCCAGCCCAGTCTGGTTTCATTCCCTGCCATCCCCACTCCCACTGTCCTGGATTTTTTGGAGTGCATCCCAAATATCTCATCTAGGATTCTTTCAAAACTCCAAAGACAAGTACTTTTTAAAGAACCCACAATACTATTATCACCCTTAAAAAATCGTTGACTGTAACTTCTTCATATCATCGACCATCTACTCAGAATTCAAGTTTCACTGACTATCATCAAAATTTTTTCCAAATAATTTGTTTAAGAAAGGATCCAAATAAGGTCCCAACACTGTAACTGGCTAATGTATCTTTTAAGTCTCTCTCTCCCTTTTTTTTTTTTCTGAGACAGTCTCATGTTGCTGCCCAGGCTAAACTGCAGTGATGCAATCACCGCTCGCCACTACCTCGGCCTCCCAGGTTCAAGCAATTCTCCTACCTCAGCCTCCTGAGTAGCTGGGATTATAGGTGCCCACCACCAGGCCTGGCTAATTTTTATGTTTTTTAGTAGAGACGGGGTTTCCCCATGTTGGCCAGGCTGGTCTCAAACTCCTGACCTCAGGTGAGCCACCCACCTCGGTCTCCCACAGTGCTGGGATTACAGGCGTGAGCCACCGTGCCCAGCCCGATGTTTCTTTTAAGTCTCTCTCAATCTACAGCTTCCTTTTTCACTCTTTTCCTCCCCTTGAAATGTATGTGTTTGAAGAAACTGAGTTGTGTGCCCTGTGATGTTTTCCAGAATCTGGATTTTGTGAGGGGCTGTGCCCAGCGTGCTGCTGAACATGTCCCTCTGAACCCTGTGTTTTCCATGAGTTGGCAGCTGGCACTGGAGGCCTGGGCAGAGTCGGTGTGACTTTTGAGGGAAGCATCAGGAGGAACGTAATGTCTGGCTGTCTCTCTCTCTCAGTGGTGTTGGCTTTCATTGAAGCTTATTGCCCACATGCATTAATGCATTAGGAGTTGCAAATTGGTGATATGCAAATTCTATATTATTCTGTCCAGGATACTTCTCTAGAGAGAAACATTCCCTCATCGATTATTTGGATAGCCTGAGGTATGATTTGTTTAGGAAAGACAGGACAAATGCTTGATTCCCCACCCCCCAACCCATTTACTAATTTTCAGAATAATAAGTTGCTTCCCTGGCATCCTCTGAGGTCATCAATGAGACTTTGTTGTCTCTGTTTTTGTATCACTACTCATGGACTTATTTATTTATTTAATTTTTATTTTTTCGGTGGAGACAGTATCTTCCTCAGTCACCTAGGCTGCAGTGCACTGGCGCGATCTCAGCTCACTTCAACCTCTGCCCCCTGGGTTCAGGCGATTCTCTCTCCTGCCTCAGCCCCCTGAATAGCTGGAATTTCAGGTACCCACCACCACACCTGGCTAATTTTTGTATTTTTAGTAGAGATGGGGTTTCACCATGTTGGCCAGGCTGGTCTCAAATCCCTGACCTCAAGTGATCTGCTCACCTTGGCTTCCCAAAGTGCTGGGATTACAGGCCTGAGCCACCATGCCCGGCTACTACTCCTGGATTTAAACATACCTGATGTGTTTCATCCATTTCAGCTGTCATCCTTGGTGATGCCCAAAGTTTCCTATTATTAGCAAGTGGGAGCCTGTTCAGGTTGGCTCCCAAGTCTTTTTTTTTTTTGAGACAGAGTCTAATTCTTGTCACCCAGGCTGGACTGTAGTAGTACGATCTCAGCTCACTGAAACCTCTCCCTCCCAGGTTCAAGTGAGTCTCCTGCCTCAGTCTCCCAAGTAGCTGGGATTACAGGCACCCGCCACCATGCCTGGCTAGTTTTTGTATTTTTAGTAGAGACACAGTTTCACCACGTTGGATAGGCTGGAGAGCCAAGATGAACCTGGAACATTTTGTCATACCAGCAAGCAAGGAAGTTGCCAAAGACCACAACGGTTTTACCTAAAGATTTGGGAGCTGGCCAGGCTCGGTGGCTCACGCCTGTAATCCCAGCACTTTGGGAGGCTAAGGCGGATGGATCACCTGAGGTCAGGAGGTCGAGACCAGCCTGGCCAACATGGTGAAACCCTGTCTCTACTAAAAACAAAGAAAAAAATGACCCGGGCATGGTGGCCTGTGCCTATAATCGCAGCTTCTTCGGATGCTGAGGCATGAGAATTGCTTGAGCTGGTGAGGTGGAGGTTGCAGTGAGGCAAGATCGCACCACTGCGCTCCAGCCTGGGCAACAGAGTGAGAAACTGTCTCAAAAAAAAAAAAAAAAAAAAAACAGAAGCAAACAAACAAAAAAACCCACAAAACAAGAAATTTGCCTAATATAGTTGTTAAATATGCAAATGGACACACACATATTTCATAGAAATTCTTAAGCATACAAAATTTTAAAATCAAAGTTCTGAAAAATACACATAGGATGATCACGTTTGCGCAAAAGTAGGAGGAGAGAGAGAAGATAGATAAACAGAAAAACTGGAGGGCCCAGGAAACTCTTAACGGTAACATTTATCTTTGAGGAATGGTGTTGAAAAGGGTGAAATACAATTTTACATAATTCTATATGACCAAATTTTGATCATGAGCATGAATGCTTTAACTGGAAAAATTTCTTTGTGCATTACTTTAATAATTAAAAAACAAGTTTAAATATTGTTAAATAAGCTGGGCATGGTGGCTCACACCTGTAATCCCAGCACTTTAGGATCACTTGAGGTCTGGAGTTTGAGACCAGCTTGGCCAACATGGTGAAACTTTATCTCTACTAAAAATACAAAAAAAAATTAGTGAGGTGTGGTGGTGTAGGCCTGTAGTCCCAGCTACTCGGGAGGCTGAGGCAGGAGAATCACTTAAACCCAGGAGGTAGAGACTACAGTGAGCCGGGATTGCACCACTGCATTCCACCCAGGATGACAGAGCAAGACCCTGTCTCAAAAACAAATAATAAATATTGTAAAGAAAATATTTACGTGACAAATGGTTGGATTAACTGAATCTCAGAGAATCGTGGCCAAACCGGTCGCTCCAAAGCCTCTGTGGCCCTGAGAGGGTTTCCAGGTGGAGGCACGGTCCTCACTGTGACTCACTCCCAAGCGATTCTTCAGGGCAGCCATCCCATTACCTGTGAGTGATCGCCAGTAGACTCCCTGTAGGATTGCAGCCAAACGGAAAAAGGAAAAAGCCATATAGAAGTTCCAGTTCTCAGTGGGAGGGAGTCCCATTTGGAGGCAGTACATCCTGAAATACTCCTCTGCAGCAGGGATTCCCAGCTGTGTCAAGTCACAGTCATTAAAACCTGGGAGAAAGAGCCATTCATGGGTAGTCACTGACTTGACATACCCCTGTAGCTGGCAAATATTTAAATTCTGAAAATTGCCATGTCCCTTGAAAATTAGTTTCACGACCAGTTCCAGGGGTTAGCTTATTCCTGCATTGGCTCTTATTCCCTTAGATGGCTGGGCATCCAGGCATGAAGTCATTATTCACAAATTGGCTCTTACAGGTTTCAGACTCTAATGGCAGTAAAGGAAGGAATGGGAGCTTCCAACTCCATCTGGGCCACAGTTAAGGGTGGATGCATATTATCTTCAACCAGTCATTTGATCAAAAATGACGTGGAAAGAGCGATCTCAGGCTCAGCGCAGTGGCTCACGCCTGTAACCCCAGCACTTTGGGAGGCCGAGGTAGGTGGATCACCTGAGATCAGGAGTTCAAGACTGGCCTGACCAATATGGTGAAACCCTGTCTCTACTAAAAATACAAAAATTAGCCAGGCATGGTGGCATGCACCTGTAATCCCAGCTACCTGGGAGGGAGGCTGAGACGGGAGAATTGCATGAATCCAGGAGGCAGAGGTTGCAGTGGGCTGAGATCATGCCACTGCACTCCAGCATGGGTGACAGAGCGAGACTCCGTCTCAAAAAAAAAAAAAAAAAAACAATTGACTGGGCGCAGTGGCTCATGCCTCTAATACCAGCACTTTTGGAGGCTGAGGAGGGCAGATCACTTGAGGTCAGGAGGTCAACACCAGCCTGGCCAACATGGTGAAGACCCTGTCTCTACTAAAAATACAAAAATTAGCCAGGTGTTGTGGCACACGCCTGTAATCCCAGCTACTCAGGAGGCTGAGGCCGAGGAATCGTTTGAACCTGGGAGATGGCGGTTGCAGTGAGCCTAGTTCGCGCCACCGTGGTCCAGCCTGGGTGACAGAGTGAGACTCCATCTCAAAAATAAATAAATGAGTGACAGAGGGAGACTCCATCTCAAAAATAAATAAACAAATAAATATAAAAATAAACAAAAAGATCTCACCAAATTATGAAAATGATAATTATAGCAAATAAAACAATTTCACAGGCCGGGCACAGTGGCTCATGCCTGTAATCCTAGCACTTTGGGAGGCCAAGGCGGGCAAATCACGAGGTCAGGAGATTGAGACCATCCTGGCTAACACAGTGAAACCCCATCTCTACTACAAAAACAAAAAATTAGCTGGGCGTGGTGGCAAGTGCCTGTAGTCCCAGCTATTCGGGAGGCTGAGGCAGGAGAAGGGTGTGAGCCTGGGAGGCAGAGCTTGCAGTGAGCCAAGATCGCACCACTGCCCTCCAGCCTGGGCAACAGAGTTAGACTCCGTCTCAAAAAAATTCACTTATTTGCTCCATCTGTGACATTTTCATGATTTAGAAGCATGTAATATATTCTATTCATAGAAATTAATCTTAGGAGTATACTTTATATATAGGCAAAGATATTACTACAAAGATATTCACTGCCTTTCTTCATAGGGGTAGGGGAGGTAATATTTAAAAATTGGAAACAGGCCGGGCGCGGTGGCTCAAGCCTGTAATCCCAGCACTTTGGGAGGCCGAGGCGGGTGGATCACGAGGTGAGAAGATCGAGACTATCCTGGTAACATGGTGAAACCCCGTCTCTACTAAAAATACAAAAAATTAGCCGGGCGAGGTGGCGGGCGCCTGTAGTCCCAGCTACTTGGGAGGCTGAAGCGGGAGAATGGCGTGAACCCGGGAGGCGGAGCTTGCAGTGAGCCGAGATCACGCCACTGCACTCCAGCCTGGGAGACACAGCGAGACTCCGTCTCAAAAAAAAAAAAAAAAAATTGGAAACAAATTGAATATCTAAATAGGAATTAACCCAAAAGTCTTCCCTTAATTCTCTTTTGTTTTTTTTTTCTTTTTTGAGACGGAGTCTCGCTCTGTCGCCCAGGCTGGAGTGCAATCATCTCAGCTCACTGCAAGCTCTGCCTCCCGGGTTCACGTGCCATTCTCTTGCCTCAGGCTCCTGAGTAGCTGGGACTACAGGCGCCCACCACTACGCCCGGCTAATTTTTTTGTATTTTTAGTAGAGATGGGGTTTCACCATGTTAGCCAGGATGGTCTCGATCTCCTGACCTTATGATCTGCCCGTCTCGGCCTCCCAAAGTCCAAAGTGCTGGGATTACAGGTGTGAGCCACCGTACCCAGCCATCTTCCCTTAATTCTATACAATAAGATTATATGCTCTCATTAAAAATTATGCTGTAGAATATGTAATGTCATGAAAACATGTCTACAGTATACAATGAAGTGAAAAAAAGCATGTCATTCGATCATGTTACATTTTTGTTTTAGGAAATATACATATACACACAAGAAAAGATGACATGGATAGATACTGAAATGTCAGCAAATGGTTATCTCTGGGACTACTAATGATTTTAACTGTTTCGTTGTTGTTGCTATCTGTTGGCTCTAGTATTTTTATAATAAATGTGGCTTGTTTTTGTTTTTTTTTTGAGATGGAGTCTTGCCCTGTTGCACAGGCTGGAGTGCAATGGTGTGATCTCGGCTGACTGCAACCTCCGCCTCCCAGGTTCAAACGATTCTCCTGCCTCAGCCTCCCGAGTAGCTGGGGTTATAGGCGCATGCCACCACGTCCAGCTAATTTTTTATTTTTAGTAGAGATGGGGTTTTACCATGTTAGCCAGCCTGGTCTTGAACTCCTGACCTTGTGATCCGCCCGCCTTGGTCTCCCAAAGTGCTGGGATTACAGGCGTGAGCCACCACACCCAGCCACAATAAATGTGTTTTTAATTTAAAACCCTAAATAGAAGTTAGCTGTGTAAAAGCATAAGAGGTGCCTATACAAGCATACTTTTCACTTAACACACATTCTGTATCTACTTCCCCGCAAATGTGACAGGAGTGCATTCCAGCTATGTTTCCCACCAGAACCACCAGGACCTCACTTTCACTTTCCTGTCCAATCATGGACTACTTCAGCTGAGTTTGCTCCCAAGTGCTTTGAGAACTGGCTTGCTCCTCCACTATCCTCCAGCAGCAGTTCCTACCTCTCAGCACGGGAAAACTGGACGGTAGGTAATGAGCCAGGCAGCTGTAGGCCACATCGATGAGGGGGTCGCCCAAGGTAGAAAGTTCCCAGTCAAGGACAGCAAGCACCTCTGGCTTTTCTGGATGAAACACCAGGTTGTCGAGCCTGAAAAGCCCCAGGAGGAACAGAGACAGCACTAAGAAAACTGCCGGCTAGGGAGGATTCTGCGTGGTCTGTTTGCCTTTCAGACTGGCTCCCCACCCTCCCATCCCCTCTGTGCCTGGGAGCCTGAGCTCCCTGGGCTGTGTGCTCCAAGGACTCCCTTGCCCTCTGGCTTCCAGCTGGACTCAGCCAATCAAAAGCAGGAGATGGGAAGGGGCCTGGTTATTTATTTCCCCAGCTCCTTCTCTGCAGCCCTCCCCAGAGAGCTAGCCTCTCTGGGTTCAGGGAATTACTCCCTCCCTGTGATGGTTTTAAAACAGATCTGTAAATCCTTTGACACTCCTCCCACAAAAGGTAGAGTCTTACACTTGGCCCAGTGAAGCATCTTGCTTCTAACAGATACAAGACACATGGAAGTGATGCTGAGGGACTCCCGAGACTAGACTAGGTCAGAAAACGTGATACAGCTTCTGCCCAGCCCTCTGTCCCTTGAAACACACTATTTTGGAGCCCTGAGCCGCCAGGTAAGAAGTCCAGGGTTGAGTGCAATGGCTCATGCCTGTAATCCCCACATTTTGGGAGGACAAGTTGGGAGGACTGCTTAAGCTCAGGAGTTCAAGACCAGCCTGGGCAACATAGCAAGACCCTATCTCTACAAAAAAAAATTTAAAAATTAGCTGAGCATGGTAGTGCACGCCTATAGTCACAGCTACTCAGGAGGCTAAGGTGGGAGTATCACTGAGCCCAGGAGTTGGCAGCTGCAGTCAGTTATGTTCCAGCCTATGAATAGCTACTGCACTCCAGCCTGGGTGACAGTGCAAGATCCTGTCTCAAAGAAAAAAGTCCAGTTACCCAGAAGCTGCCATGCTGGAGAGACGATGTGGGAACCATAAAGAGACAGAAAGACAGGCCCAAGGAGCCCGGCTGTTCATATCTTCTCTGCCCAGGGCCGGCATGCTAGCAAGCCTTCAGAAGATTCAGCCCCGCCCAACAGCCGCCCTACTTTGAAATAAGCTGTCCTGTCCCCAGACTGCAAAGATTCATGAGCAAAATGACTACTGTCGTTGTTGATAGCCACTCAGTTCTGACAAAGTTTGTTGTAGAGTAGCAATAACCACAGCACATGCTTGCCCTGTCAGACTGACTCCTCACTGTTCCTGGCCCCGGGACTCCACACTGTTCTTCAGCGTTTCCTCTAAACCACACTACAACCCTATATTGAACTCTCCCCAAATAGCCTCTTTCATGCTTTCTGTTTCCTGCCAGGGCTGTCTGTAATGCATGCTTTATTTAAAAGAAAAAGTAAACATCAAGCATGCAGAAAAATACAGAGAATGATATAATGTCAGAACTCATGTGTCCATCTTCCAGATTTAGCAGATATTATATCTGCTTTTTTGTTATATTTGCTTCAGATTTTTTAAAAAATGACAGATTAACTGCCATCCTGAAGTTAGTATATATCAGTCTCAGACATTTCTATATTTCTCTTATCTATACCTGTACCTATATACCACATATAGTGTTCTTTCAATTATTTTTAAGTTTTCATAAATGATTTATTACCCTTTTGAAACTTACTTTTTTCTACTTAGCATTATCTGTTTGAGACTTATGACTTATGTACAGCAAATTGGTTTATTTTACCCACTAAATAGAATTCCAACATATGGCCAAACTACATTTTATTTATCATGTATTATAATTACAAGCATGACCAAAACAAACATCTTCGCCTGAGTCTCTTGGTGCAAAGCTGCAGATGCTTCTTTACAAAAAACGATGTGTTGCAGCATATTCCCATCTTCCATGTTACTGCCCATTACTTTTCTTTTCTTTTCGAGACGGAGTCTCACTCTGTCACCCAGACTGGAATGCAGTGGCACGGTCTTGGCTCACTGCAACCTCTACCTCCCGGATTCAAGTGATTCTCCTGCCTCACCCTCCCAAGTAGTTGAGATTACACGGGTAAAACCACACTCGGGTACTTTTTGTATTTTTAGTAGACATGGGATTTTGGCATGTTGGCCAGGCTGGTCTCGAACTGCTGACCTCAAGTGATCTGCCCGCTTCGGCCTCCCAAAGTGCTGGGATTACAGGCATGAGTCGCCTACTACTTTTCAAAGTAGCTGCGGCAGTTTATGCTTTCACCACCGGTGATTCACTCCATTAGCAAGAAATATTCTTCCATCCATCAAAAATCAGAATTATCTCAACTATGTTGATCAATAAGCAGCAGCACACTCTCTAAAATCAGAGGATGCCTTTCCTGGAGGCAACATCCTAAATGATCATCATACTTCACTATAGCTAGGGGACGGGGTGCTCAGACTGCACTGGACATCTCCTGCCTGCTGTATACTTGATCACATTCGTAGATCTTTGAGGTGCCAAGAGAAGCAAAGACAAGGTCCACGGAGCAGCTGTTATGGGCTGGTGACACAAAGGCCACCTGAGGTCTTCCCCACCAAAGGAAATACATGGCAATAGCTGGCAAGGAAAGTGTTGTCAGGCAAGTGCTCTAGAGTCCCAAGTGGAGAAAGATGGAGGAGGGGGTCAAATGCAGCCCAACTGCTTGCCAAGTTCAAGGCAGTGTGGGGGAAGCACTTGGCCCCATCAGTCTCTGATGCAGGAGCAGGTTCCTCAAGCTCCCATGATGACCACATGACAAAGAAAGCTCAGCTGTCCACTCTCAGACCCAGGGGGATTCCCAAAGGTGGCTGGATAACAGAAGAAGCCGGGAGCGAGGGACACAGGTCAAGCCAATGAAGACAGGCTAATCAAATCTGGAGGGCAAAGAAGTGTCTTTAAGGCTGGGCACGGTGGCTCACACCTGTAATCCCAGCACTTTGGGAGGCCAAGGTGGGCAGAACACTTGAGGGCAGGAGTTTGAGACCAGCCTGATCAACATGATAAAACCCCATCTCATATTTTTGTATTACTAAAAATATATTGTATTTTTGGATTTCTAAAAATGCAGTGAGCTGAGATCATGCCACTGCACTCCAGCCTGGGCGACGGAGTGAAACTGTCTTTAAAAAAAAAAAAGAAGAAGCCAAAAGGTCTTTAAAATTTAAAATTAACCTTCACTGTCTAGCCTTGTTTAATAAAAGGCCTGGGTCCCCACATGGGCAAAAAGACAAGCCAAATAAGGCATTCTTGCATCAAAAGCAGGTCTCCAGGTGCTGTGAAGCAGAAAACACAATAAACACTACCCTATAAAAGTACCTAATGGGCAGTTTTCACAGCAAGAGATGATAAGATAAAGCTATCATCTCTGCCGCCGGATGCCAGGCATACTGAAGTTCCCATTTTAGCCGCGCTACAGACTCATCACATACCCCCAGAGACTCTGTCACTCTCTTTCAATCCTTTCACTACACCCAGTGAGAATGTCCATCCCCAGGCCTCTTGGGAGGTGAGTGGCACCCTCACTCTGCCTTACTTTCAGATGAGATCAGGCCTCTTCAGGGGCCGTAGACTCTGCCTTACTTTCAAACAGTGGGTCTCAACAGAGGAATGCTGCCCTCCCTGGGAACACTGGACCAGGTCTGCAAAGATTTTTGGTTGCCACACTCTGCGGGGAGGGGTGCTACTGGCATCGGGTTGAGGCCAGGGATGATGCCTGATATCCTACAATGCACAGTAGCTCCCACCACAAAAAAGTACCCAATTCAACATGTCACGGTGCCAGAGCTGAGAAACCCTGCCTGAAAAGGCCACACACAGAGAGGTGCTTTGTAATAGGAATAATTCCCGACTGTAAATTGCAGCAAGACCAATTGCTCAATTCCCCCTTGGAGTGTCCTTGCTGTCATTTTTCAGCTCTCCCTGCCATCACATCTACCTGAAGTCCCCGTGCACCAGTGTGGTCCTCTGCTGATGGGGAAGATGGAGGGGGAGCCACTCGATCAGCCTCTCCATAGCTGGGATGGTGCTGGTTTCAGAAGCCCGATACTGCTTAACCCAGGTTCGCACCTGGCGTGGAATATAGGCCCCTGTGGGAAAGATGATTAGAACATGGTATGCAATTTCAGCAACCTCTGAAAGTAACGGGAAAAAAAACCAGTGCAGTAAAACCCTTTGTCATGCTCTGCAGTGGGTGCTGCGGTGTCTTTGAACACGTTCCTAAGACTGGAGAATTTCCCACATGATGCTCCTGCTGCCCCAAGGTGGAAATCATCGGCTGTTTGGCTGGATTAGTGTGGTCTGGGTGCTGTTCCTAGCTGTGTGGTCTCCAAATATGATCTCTGCTCCTCTTAAAGACCTTATGGCCGGGCATGGTGGCTCACACCTGTAATCCCAGCACTTTGGGAGGCCAAGGTGGGCAGATCATGAGGTCAGGAGTTCGAGACCAGCCTGTCCAACATGGCAAAAGCCCGTCTCTACTAAAAAATACAAAAATTAGCCAGGTGTGGTGGTGGGTGCCTGTGATCCCAGCTACTTGGGAGGCTGAGGCAGGAGAATTGCTTGAACCCAGGTGGTGGAGGTTGAAGTGAGCCGAGATCACACCATTGCACTCCAGCCTGGGTAACAAGAGCAAAACTCCATCTCCAAAAAAAAGATCTTGTGTGCTTCCTAATAGCCTTTCATAAATCACTTTTTGGCTAAACCACAGTGGTTAGCTGAAGGCAAATCAACCCTGGAGTCAGACTGCCAGACTTTGAAACCCAGCTCTGCTGTTCTCTAGCAGTGTGATCTCAGGCAGGTTACTTAGCATCTCTATGCTTTAGTTTCCTCATCTTTTTTTTTTTTTTTTTTTTTTTGAGACGGAGTCTTGCTCTGTGCCCCAGGCTGGAGTGCAGTGGCGCGATCTCGGCTCACTGCAAGCTCCGCCTCCCCGGGTTCACGCCATTCTCCTGCCTCAGCCTCCCGAGTAGCTGGGACTACAGGCGCCCGCCACCTCGCCCAGCTAATTTTCTTGTATTTTTTAGTAGAGACGGGGTTTCACCGTGTTAGCCAGGATGGTCTCGATCTCCTGACCTTGTGATCCGCCCGTCTCGGCCTCCCAAAGTGCTGGGATTACAGGCTTGAGCCACCGCGCCCGGCCAGTTTCCTCATCTTAAGATGGTCCTCATAGAGCCGTTGGGAGAATAAAATATGTAAAGCCCTTAGAACTGTTCTTGGCATATGGTAAGTACTATATGAGGGCTGGCTGCAGTGGCTCATGCCTGTAATCCCAACACTTCGGGAGGCCAAATCACTTGAGCGCAGGAGTTTGGGTAGAGCCTGGGCAACATGGCGAAATCCTGTCTCTACTAAAAATACAAAAATTAGCTGGGCATGGTGGTCCATACCTGTAGTCCCAGCTACTCAAGAGGGAGAGATGGGAGGATCACTTGAGCCCAAGAGGTTGAGGCTGCAGTGAGCCAAGATCACACCACTACACTCCAGTGTGGGCTACAGAGAGAGACCCTGTCTCAAAAAACAAACAAAAAAACTATCCCTGTTGAAACTGGACACGGTGGCACATGCCCAGAGTCCCAACTACTTGGGAGGCTGAGACAGGAGGATGGCTTGAGCCCGTAAGTTTGAGACCAGACCAGCCTGGGCAACATAGTGAGACCCCTATCTCAAAAAAAATATATATTCCTGTTGAAGAGTATTTAGGGAAAAGGGTAAGAAACAGAGAAAAGGCCGGGCGCGGTGGCTCAAGCCTGTAATCCCAGCACTTTGGGAGGCCGAGACGGGCGGATCACGAGGTCAGGAGATCGAGACCATCCTGGCTAACACGGTGAAACCCCGTCTCTACTAAAAAATACAAAAAACTAGCCGGGCGAGGTGGCGGGCGCCTGTAGTCCCAGCTACTCGGGAGGCTGAGGCAGGAGAATGGCGGGAACCCGGGAGGCGGAGCTTGCAGTGAGCTGAGATCCGGCCACAGCACTCCAGCCTGGGCGACAGAGCGAGACTCTGTCTGGAAAAAAAAAAAAAAAGAAACAGAGAAAAACACATTTTAAATACCTTTGGTCAGTATCAGAAAAAAAATTTAAATGGTCTAGTGAGATAAAAGTAGCAGGGAATTGGATAGTAGAATACTTCAGGGAAAAAAAGAAAAAATGAAAAAAAAAAGTTGCAGGGAAGAAAGATTGTGTAGTTCATAAAGGGATTTATCGAAGGCCCAAATACCTAAGTCAGCAACACCTCCATTAAAACTAAACTGGATTTCCAAGGAAGAAGCTAAGTGTGCCTTACGCATGGTGTGTTAATACCCAAAATGATTCAGATCCTAAAAGCAGAAGCACTAGTGATGAAACAACCAGCATGGGAGACGTGGCCTCCTGCTCACCTTGCTTCCCATAGTCTTCAAGCCCCACAGCCTGGGGATCCACACTGTGAATTTTGCACAGGACTGTGTTCATAGCAGTGTATATGGCTCGCCTGTGGCTGGGTTCCAAGCCTGGCAGGGAAGGGTCTTTGTAGATGAGACCTGGGCAGTACTCCATCACATAGAATGGGGTGCCAACGACACTGGGAGGAACACAGAAGGGGTTTCAGGGATCAGAGTCATAATGTGGCAGGCTGTTAGTCACTATTCTTTGACCCTATTCTTTGTCACTGTCCCTGGGTGTATGGGTTGAGATCTGGAGAAGAGTTCAGACCCAGAGCACTGGATACTTCCTTTTTCCTTTCACATAAGCACAGTGCATTAGAAGTATCCTTCTTGCAACGGATCTATCCACATACATACACACGTGCATACACACACATGCACACCCATCTGTGCTTCTTGGACAGCATGCTTTTCTCTTCTCCCTGGTTCCTTTGTATAAGCCACAGGAATGGATTCAAAGTGTAACAATGTAGCAAGCAGCAAGGCTCAGAGAAGGACCTCTGGAGTCACACAGAACCGGTTTTTATTTCTTTTCTTTTTTTTTTTTTTTTGAAATGGAGTCTGGCTCTGTCGCCCAGGCTGGAGTGCAGTGGCCGGATCTCAGCTCACTGCGAGCTCCGCCTCCCGGGTTTACGCCATTCTCCTGCCTCAGCCTCCCGAGTAGCTGGGACTACAGGTGCCCACCACCTCGCCTGGCTAGTTTTTTTGTATTTTTTAGTAGAGACGGGGTTTCACCGTGTTCGCTAGGATGGTCTCGATCTCCTGACCTCGTGATCCGCCCGTCTCAGCCTCCCAAAGTGCTGGGATTACAGGCTTGAGCCACCGCGCCTGGCCTATTTCTTATTTTTTTATTTTTTTGAGATGGAGTCTTGCTCTGTTGCCCAGGCTGGAGTGCAGTGGCACGATCTCAGCTCACTGCAACCTCTTCCTGCTGGGTTCAAGCAATTCTCCTGCCTCAGCTGGGACTCCAGGTGCGTGCCGCCATGCCTGACTAATTTTTGTATTTTTAGTAGAGATGGGGTTTCACCATGTTGGCCAGGCTGGTCTTAAACTCCTGACCTCAGATAATCTGCCTGCTTCAGCCTCCCAGAGTGTTGGGATTATGGGTGTGAGCCACTGCACCTGGTCAGAACCAGGTTTAAATCCCAACTCTGCCCTTAGTTGAAGAGTGACCCTGAGAGACTTATTAAACCTCTTTAGGCTTTGTTGTTGAGATGGAGTCTCGCTCTGTTGCCTGTTGCCTAGGCTGGAGTGCAGTGGCATGATCTTGGCTCACTGCAACCTCCGCCTCCTGGTTTCAAGCGATTCTCCTGCCTCACCATCCCGAATAGCTGGAACTACAGGTGTGCGCCACCACATCCGGCTAATTTTTTTGTATTTTTAGTAGAGATGGGGTTTCACTGTGTTAGCCAGGATGGTCTCAATCTCCTGACCTCGTAATCCGCCTGCCTCAGCCTCCCAAAATGCTGGGATTACAGGCATGAGCCACTGCGCCCAGCCGTGTTGTTGTTTTTTAATCTGTAAGACATACCCACTTCAAAGGGTAATTGCAAGAATTAAGGGCGCTTCCAGGGTATTTGTTACTTAAAAAAAAAAAATGAATTAAGCAACAAACATACAGAGTGCCTGGCATGGTCTCTGGTTCCAACAAGGGTTCAGTAAGTATCCCTTCTTGTTATTGAGGTTATTTTTATCATTTTTCGGTGGTATGAATGGTGTATATACCACCCAGCAGTACTAAGGTGACCCAATGACATGTCACTAATCCATCTTTTGGTCATTACTAGCAATCAGTTTACTACTCTACTGTACTTTATTTATTTATTTATTTGAGACAGAGTCTCACTCTATCACCTAGGCTGGAGTGCAGTGGTGTGATCTCGGCCTACTGCAAACTCTGCCTCTCGGGTTCAAACGATTCTCCTGACTCCAGGCACGTACCACCATGCCCAGCTAATTTTTGTATTTTTCAGTAGAGACGGGGTTCCACCATGTTGGCCAGGCTGGTCTCAAACTCCTGGTTTCAAGTGATCCATCTGCCTCAGGCTCCAGTTTACTACTCTAAAAAATTGTTTTGAAAATTCTACCATTGGCCGGGCGTGGTGGCTCAAGCCTGTAATCCTAGCACTTTGGGAGGCCGAGACGGGCGGATCACAAGGTCAGGAGATCGAGACCATCCTGGCTAACACGGTGAAACCCCGTCTCTACTAAAAAATACAAAAAAACTAGCCGGGTGAGGTGGCGGGCGCCTGTAGTCCCAGCTACTCGGGAGGCTGAGGCAGGAGAATGGCGTAAACCCGGGAGGCGGAGCTTGCAGTGAGCTGAGATCTGGCCACTGCACTCCAGCCTGGGTGACAGAGCAAGACTCCGTCTGAAAAAAAAAAAAAAGAAAAGAAAATTCTACCATTACAAATGTTTCAAGTTGAAAAACTATTACAAAAGATGTTTCCAAGAGAATTGGGGAAATTTGAACATGGGCTGGATATTCAGTATTATTATTAAATAATTGTTAGTTATCTTAGGTGTACTGGTGTTGTGGTTATGAAAGACAATGTCAGCCAGGTGCAGTGGCTTACACCTGTAATCCGGCACTTTGGGAGGCCAAGGCAGATGGATCACTTGAGGTCAAGAGTTTGAGACCACCTGGCCAACAAGGCAAAACCCCGTCTCTATTAAAAATACAAAAATTAGCCAGGTGTGGTGGTGCATGCCTGTAATCCCAGCTACTTGGGAGGTTGAGGCAGGAGAATTGCTTGAATTCAGGAGGCAGAGGTTGCAGTGTGCCCAGACTGCGCCATTACACTCCAGCCTGGGCAACAGAGTGAGACTCCATCTCAAAAAAAAAGGAAAAAAAAGAAAAGGAAAAAAAAGACAGGGTCTCACTCTATCATCCAGCCTGGAGTGCGGTGGTGTGATCACAGCTCACTGCAGCCTCCACCTCCCACCTCAATTGTTCCAGGTAAGTAGGTGGGACTACAGGTGTGCACCTCCACACCTGGCTAATTTTTTTTTGTTTTTGTAGAGATGGGGTTTTGCCATGTTGCCCTGACTGGTCTCAAACTCCTGGGCTCAAGTGATCTGCCTGCCTCAGCCTCCTTAAGTGATGGGATTACAGGCGTTAGCCACTATGCCTGGTCAATGTCTTTATTCTTGAGAGATGCATGCTGTCTGAAACTTATTTCAAAAGGTTCAGCCAAAAAAAATCATTATATACATGTTAAAAGTATACATGTATACACACACACATATATAGAAAATAAATGTGGCAAAATGTTAACAATGTTTTAATTTTTGATCTAGATGAAATATAAACAGATATTCATTATATTACTTTTTCTTCTTTCACCTTTTCCGAAGGTTTCAAATGTTTCATAATTAAAACGTTAGGAAAGAAGTGACACTCAAAAAGCATGTTACAAAGCTGTTTAAAATAGTTTAGGTCCAGGCACAGTGGCTCACACTTGTAATCCCAGCATCATGGGAGGCCGAAGTGGGCGGATCATCTGAGGTCAGGAGTTGGAGACAAGCAAGGCCAACATGGTGAAACCCTGTCTCTACTCAAAAAATAAAAAAACTAGCCGGGCGTAGTGGGGGGCGCCTGTAATCCCAGCTACTCAGCAGGCTGAGGCAAGAGAATCATTTGAACTCAGGAGGCAGAGGTTGCAGTGAGCCGAGATTGGGCCACTGGACTCCAGCCTGGGTGACAGAATGAGACTCTGTCTCAAAACACCAAACAGTTTAGAAAGACTCTTATAAAAGAATAAACAAAAACAAGCAACATGAAACTAGATAAATATGGATTTTTTTGAATGTTAAAAAAAGATGTTTTCTACCAATTCTCCCTAAAGCAGGCATATACTTATCTGGCAGGATAACTTAAATATCTGAGAACTTCTGGGAGAGGTTGCTATAAAGTTTCTTTGCCCTCCTACCCAAATTTTATTTGTCTTTAACGAATTGGAATTTGTGTTAGCATATGGGCTGTTCTCTCCTGTAGCTTGAATGTGCGATAGCAAAAACATCTGAACTTTACCTTGAATCTTCACAGAGATCAAGAACGTTAGGTACAGGTACTCCAGCATTTGCAAGGGCTTTCATAATCCTGCCAGGACAAATGAAAATAAACAAAACCGCTGGCTGAATTGATGAGATTTTCTTCAAGTTACTTTTCTTTGTTTGTTTGTTTGTTTTGTTTTTTGAGACACAGTCTTGCTCTGTTGCCCAGGTTGGAGTGCAGTGGCGCGATCTTGGCTCACTGCAACCTTCACTTCCTGAGTTCAAGCCATTCTCAGGACTCAGTCTCCTGAGTAGCTGGGATTACAGATGTGCACCACCACGCCCAGCTAATTTTTGTATCTTTAGTAGAGACAAGGTTTCGCCATGTTGGCCAGGCTGGTCTCAAATTCCTGACCTTAGGTGATCCACCTGCCTCAGCCTCCCAAAGTCCTGGGATTACAGGCATAAGCCACTGCGCCTGGCCTGAAATTACTTTTCTGAATTAAAAATGGTACATAAATTAAAATGAAATTCTAAAAAATATTCAATTGACCCAAAAGTAAGAAAGAACAAAAAAAATGATGGGACAAACAAAAAACCAATGGTGAAATTGTAGACCTAAATCAAACATGTCAATAACTACATTAAACTCAATAGATGAATAGATTCCAATTAAAAGACAGAAGTTGGCTGGACATGGTGGCTCCTGCCTGTCTCAACTAAAAATACAAAAATTAGCCAGGCGTGGTGGCGTGCACCTGTAATCCCAGCTACTTGGGTGGCTGAAGCATGAGAATCACTTGAACCCAGGAGGTGGAGGTTGCAGTGAGCCAAGATTGTTCCACTGTGTTCTCGCGTGGGTGACAGAGTGAGACTCCATCTCAAAAATCAAAAAAATAAATGAAATAAAATAAAAATAAAAGACAGAAGTTTTCAGTCTGGACAGAAAAGCATGACCTAATTATATGATGTCTACAAGAGATATGCGCTGAATATATAAACATAGATAGGTTGCAAAAACAAGAATGGAAATGGAAGCATTATGCAATCACTAAGCATAAGAAAGCTGGTGTGGCTACTTTAATATCAAATAAAGTAGGCTTTACAACAGTGTACCACCAGAGACAAAGAGAGACATTTGAAAATGATACAACTGCAAGTTCATCAGAAAGGTATTACAATCATAAATATGTACATGCTGAACAACAGAGCTTCAAAATACGTCAAGTAAAAATGATCAAAATTAAAGAGAAAAAAATGAAGAAATCCACAAGTCTTAGCTGAGATTTTAACACTCCTTTCACAGTAATGATAGAATTAGACAAAACTAGATTTATCTAAAGACATATATCTGAACCCACTACCAACCAACCTGATCTGATGGATACCACTAACTCAGATATTGTAAAACATACATTATTTTCAAGTAAACACAATATGTTTACCAAGATAAGTCATGTGCTGGTCCATAAAATAAATCTCAATAAATTTCAATAAAAATTAAAATGTAGCCCAGCACGGTAGCTCACACCTATAATCCTAGCACTTTGGGAGGCCAAGGTGGGCGGATTACCTGAAGTCAGGAGTTCAACACCAGCCTGGCCAATATGGCAAAACCCTGTCTCTATTAAAAGTACAAAAATTAGGGCTGTGCATGGTGGCTCAAACCTGTAATCCCAGCACTTTCGGAGGCCGAGGTGGGCGGATCACAAGGTCAGGAGATCGAGACCATCCTGGCTAACATGGTGAAACCCTGTCTCTACTAAAAATACAAAAAAAATTAGCCAGGTGTGGTGGCAGGCGCCTGTAGTCCCAGCTACTCGCAAGGCTGAGGCAGGAGAATGGCGTGAACCCAGGAAGCAGAGCTTGTAGTGGGCTGAAATCATGCCACTGCACTCCAGCCTGGGCAATAGAGCGAGACTCCGTCTCAAAAAAATAATAATAATAATACAAAAATTAGTCAGGCATGGTGCCTCACACCTGTACTTCTACCTACTCAGAAGGCTGAGGCAGGAGAATCACTTGAACCCAGGAGGCGGAGGTTGCAGTGAACCGAGATCATGCCACTGCAATGAAGACTGGGCGACAAGAGCGAAACCCCGTCTCAAAAAATAACAAACAAAAGGCTGGGCGCGGTGACTCACGCCTGTAATCCCAGCACTTTGGGAGGCTGAGGCGGGTGGATCACGAAGTCAGGAGATCGAGACCATCCTGGCCAACATGGTGAAACCCCATCTCTACTAAAAATACAAAAATTAGCCGGGCATGGTGGTGTGTGCCTGTAGTCCCAGCTACCCAGGAGGCTGAGGCAGAAGAATCGCTTGAACCTGGGAGGCGGAGGTTGCAGTGAGCCAAGATTGCGCCACTGCACTCCAGCCTGGGCAACAGAGCAAAAACTCCACCTCAAAACAAAACAACAGGCCGGGCGGTGGCTCAAGCCTGTAATCCCAGCACTTGGGGAGGCCGAGACGGGCGGATCACGAGGTCAGGAGATCGAGACCATCCTGGCTAACACGGTGAAACCCCGTCTCTACTAAAAATACAAAAAAACTAGCTGGGCGAGGTGGCGGTGCCTGTAGTCCCAGCTACTCGGGAGGCTGAGGCAGGAGAATGGCGTAAACCCGGGAGGCGGAGCTTGCAGTGATCTGAGATCCGGCCACTGCACTCCAGCCTGGGCGACAGAGCAAAAACTCCATCTCAATAAAAAAAAAAAAAAAAATAGAAAAAAGTAACAAAACAAACTGTGGTTCCCAGATCAATGTGATTGATAAACCCCTAGCTAGACTAACGAGAGAGAGAATACAAATTATCAATCAATACCAGCAGTGATAAAGAAAGGATATCACTAGGGTGGGCATAGTGGCTCACGCCTGTAATCGCAGCACTCTGGGAGGCCGAGGCAGGTGAATCACTTGAGGTCAGGGGTTGTAGACCAGCCAGGCCTCTACTAAAAATAGTAAATTAGCTGGGCATGGTGGCACGTGCCTGTAATCCCTGTTACTTGAGATTCTCCTGCTAAGGCAGGAGAATCACTTGGACTTGGGAGGTGGAGGTGGCAATGAGCCAAGATCATGCCACTGCACTCCAGCCTGGGCGACAGAAAAAAAAAAAAAAAGGATATCACTATAGATCCTACATATATTAAAAAGATAGTAAGGGAATATGATAAATAATAAATTCAATAGCTTGGGTGATATGAACAGACTCCTTAGAAATTACAACTTACCAAAACTAAAACAAGATGAAATAAAATATCTGAGTAACAATATTTTTATTAAATTAATAATCAAAAACCTTGGCCAGGCACGCTGGCTCCTGCCTGTAATCCCCAAAACTTTGGGAGGTCAACGTGGGAGGACTGCTTGAGGCCAAGAGTTCAAGCAATATAGTAAGGCCCCATTTCTACAAAAAAATTTGTAAAACTAGCCAGGCATGATGGTATGTGCCTGTAGTACTTGGGAGGCTGAGGCAGGAGAATCACTTGAGCCCAGGAGTTCGAGTTTATAGTGAGGTATCATCGCACCACTGTACTCCAGCCTAGGCAAGAGTGACTCTCTGCCTAAAAAAAAAAAATCAGCTAATACTATATATGCAATTTGTATCTGCCTTTACTATCTTAAAATTTTATCATACACATTTGTTATTATAGGCATAGTTTTACTAGCTGCAATAACAGCATAATCATTAAGGGTGAGCTATGAAATCTGATGGACTGGCTATAAAGCTAGACTCTAGCACTTGCTTACTAGTTTTATGACCCTGGGTATGCTGGTTAATCTTTTTTTTTTTTTTTTGAGACAGCGTCTCACTTTGTGAGTGCAGTGGTACGATCTCAGCTCACTACACCTCTGCTTCCTGAGTTCAAGTGATTCTCAGGCCTCAGCCTCCCATGTAGCTGGGACTACAGGTGCAAGGCACCAACACCTGGCTAATTTTTGTATTTTTTGTAGTCAGGGTTTCACCATGTTGCCCAGACTGGGCTCGAACTCCTGAGCTCAAAGCAATCTGCCTGCCTTGGTTTCTCTAAGCCTCACTCCTCCTAGTTATAAATGAGGATTATAACAGTAACATATCATAGAGTTGTGAGGATGCTCTGCAGTAACAAGACATTCAAAGCATTTATTTTAGTGCCTGGCACACACTAAACATTCAATAAATGTTAGCTATTACTATTTCTGTCATTGCAACGAGTAGATATACCAAGGTTTACTTATTTCCTGATTATGGTACAGATTATAGTACAGATTATAGTACATTTAAGTAGTTTCCAAACTCTTTTGTTTGTTTCTTGAGACAGAGTCTCACTCTGTCACACAGGCTGGAGTATGCAGTGGTGCCATCTCAGCTCAGTGCAGCCTCCACCTCCCAGGTTCAAGAGATCCTCTCACCTCAGCCTGCTGAGTAGATGGAACTACAGGCATATGCCACCACACCCATCTAACTATTTGTATTTTTGGTAGAGACAGGTTTTCACTATGTTGTCCAGGCTGGTCTTAAACTCCTGAGCTCAAGTGATCCACCTGCCTCAGCCTCCCAAAGTGCTGGGACTACATTAGCTACTGCTCCTGGCCTTCCAAATTCTTCTTATTAAACAACTTTGTGGTGAGCATATTAATACATAAAGCTGTTTCCCCCTACTTAGAATTATTTCTTTAAGACAGAGACCCAGAATTGGAATTACTAGGTCTAAAAGTATGAAAACTCTGAGGCTTTTAATAAATTGTATCATATTGTTTTCCAGAATAGTTCTAATTTACATTTGGCTTTTTTGGGGATTGGGGCAGGGTCTCACAATGTCTCCCAGGCGGGAATGCAATGACGCCACAGTAACTCACTATAGCCTCAACCTCCCAGCTCAAGCAATCCTCCCACCTCAGCCTCCTGAGTAGGTGGGACTACAGGATTGTGCCACCACGAGCAGGCTAATTCTTTTTTTTTTTTTTTTTTTGGTAGAGACAGGGTTTTGCCACATTGCCTAGGCTGGTCTTGACCTCTTGGGCTCAATGATCCTCCTGCCTCGGTCTCCCAAGGCACTGGGATTATAGGTGTGACCCACAAAACCTGGTCCATAACTGTAGTTTTAAATGTCTTGGGGTGTTTTTATGGAGTGCTGACTTTTCTGTTTAGGGCTGAGCTTGTGCACGGTGGAGGCTAGTGGGCAAGTGCTCCCCTGGCCCTGAAAACTTACCTGAACTCCCTCTCTATGGCATGGGCAGATGGAAGGAGTGTCCCTGGGGGCTTCTTCCTCAGAACCAGATCACGATTAGCCAGCCTGATGTAGTAAGTTGGATTTGACTGCCCGTGATCAAACTGAAGGAGTTCCAATGGGCCTGCAAGTTTGAAAACAAAGAAAACTCAAACCAGCCCTGGACGACAGATCTGAGCAGACATTCTTTCTTTCTAATGAGTTCTGCATTTGGGCTTCAAAATATCCTCATCTGCCATGCAGTGCAAGAAAAGCACCTCTTACCTGCCTACCAGGAGTGACTGAGTCCCAGGTCTACACCCCGCCAACTCAGGTCCAGGATCACATGCCACTACAGTTTGTCAAAGGCCATTCATTTTATACCACAGTAATTTTCTCATTTTGTGCAGGTGTCCAATTTTGTCCTTCCTGCCAACTCCTGCTCCATGAATAAAAACATGCTCATTCTGTTCATCAAGCACAAATGCAGCCATGGCAACCCATCTTGCTAAATAGAATGTTTTAAGCCTGAGGATGAAAGGTGCCCTTGCACGTCCCTCTGCCTGACACTGATGGGACAGCTGAAAGGAGTGACACAGAGGCCTTTGGCCTGACACAAAGCTGCTTTCATGAGATGCAATTTCCCACTGCACTAGGCTGAATTCCATGGCTCCCTTGCAGGATCCTGGCTGAGGTGAAAGTAATTCATTCTCAGCTCCATAAGAAGACTGAACCCTGGGTGTAGATTGATTTCACTTGGTTAGAAGAGCAGGCAAGCAACAGAAGTCTGCCTGAGTTCTTCCGGCTAGCCAGAGTGGGTGCCACAGCTGTGCAGAGGCCACTACCAATAATCCAATTGCTGGAAAACATCCTAATGTGAAACTCTATCAATAAAAGCCTTTTTCAAGGAGCAAGTGGGTGAAACCTTTATCATCTGGGAAAAATGTCTTCTTTGGCCGGGAGCAGAGGCTCATGCCTGTAATCCCAGCCCTTTGGGAGGCCAAGGTGGGTGGATCACCTGAGATCAGGAATTTGAGACCAGCCTGACCAACATAGTGAAACCCCATCTCTACTAAAAATATAAAAATTAACCAGGCATGGTAGCGGGTGCCTGTAATCCGAGCTACTTGGGAGGCTGAGGCAGGAGAATCACTAGAACCCAAGAGGTGGAGGTTGCAGTGAGCTGAGATCATGCCATTGCACTCCAGCCTGGGCAACAAGGGCAAAACTCCATCTCAAAAAAAATTAAATTAAATTAAAAAAAATTTTTAAGTCTCTTTTTTTGTTTTCTTTTGTTTTTGAAATGGAGTCTTGCTCTGTCATCCAGGCTGGAGTGCAGTGGCACTGTCTCAGCTCACTGCAACCTCTGCTTCCTGGGATCAAGCAATTCTCCTGCCTTAGCCTCCCCAGTAGCTGGGACTACAGGCATGCGCCACCACACTCAGCTAATTTTTGTATTTTTAGTAGAGATGGAGTTTCGCCATGTTGACCAAGCTGGTCTCAAACTCCTGGCCTCAAGTGATCTGCCCACCTCAGTCTCCCAAAGTGCTAGGATTACAGGCATGAGTCACCACCCCTGACCCAAAAGTGTCCTCTAAAGCACACAAGGCAGCTGGTTTTCTGAGGGCGGAATGTGAAGGAGGAAAGAGAAAACTTCTCTCCAAGAAATGGAGACAACTTGTTGCATTTTAAAATCATGCAACTTTTTTTTTTTTTTTTTTGAGAGAGTCTTGCTCTGTTGCCCAGGCTGCAGTGCAGTGGCACGATCTCAGCTCACTGCAACCTCCACCTCCTAGGTTCAAGTGATTCTCCTGAGTAGCTAGGACTACAGGCATGTGCCACCATGCCCAGCTAATTTTTGTATTTTTCCTTTTTTTTGGCGGGGGGGGGGATGGAGTCTTGCTCTGTCGCCTAGGCTGGAGTGCAGTGGCACTCACTGCAACCTTGGTCTCCCGGGTTCAAGTGATACTCCTGCCTCAGCCTCCCAAGTAGCTGGGATTACAGGCACCCACCAAAACGCCCGGCTAATTTTTGTATTTTTAGTAGAGATGGGGTTTCACCATGTTGGCCAGGCTGACCTCGAACTTCTGACTTCAGGTGATCCACCTGCCTCAGCCTCCCAAAGTGCTGGGATTATAGGCGTGAGCCACTGAGCCTGGCCCCCTTTTATTCTTTTTCTTTTTTTTTTTAAGAGGGAGTCTCACTCTATCACCGACGCTAGAGTGCAGTGGTGCAATATAGGCTCACTGCAACCACTGCTTCCCGGGTTAAAGCGATTGTTGTGCCTCAGTCTCCAGAGCAGCTGGGACTATAGTTGTGCACCACCACATCCAGCTAATTTTTGTATTTTTAGTAGAGACAAGGTTTCACATCGTTGGTCAGGCTGGTCTCGAACTCCTGGCCTCAAGTGATCGCCTGCCTCGGCCTCCCAAAATGCTGGAATTACAGGAGTGAGCCACTACACCCTGGTCACCAATGCAAATTCTTTTTTTTTTTTTCCTGAGATGGAGTCTTGCTCTGTTGCCCAGGCTGGAGTACAGCAGCACAATCTCGGCTGACTGCAACCTCTGCCTCCTGGGTTCAAGCAATTCTCCTGCCTCAGCCTCCTGAGTATCTGGGATTACAGGCACCCACCACCATACCCAGTTAATTTTTGTATTTTTAGTAGAAACAAGGTTTCACCAAGTTGGCCAGGCTGGTCTCGAACTCCTGACCTCGTGATCTACCTGCCTCGGCCTCCTAAAGTGCTGGGATTACAGGCGTGAGCCACCGTACCCCGCCTGCCAATGTAACTTCTAAGTCATCTTCACAAAATGGGCTGTCGTCTCAAAGCATTAGAAACTGTAAAATCCTCTGAGCACATACTGCAGTCCCCAAGTTCCTCTCCCTGTTGAAAGCAGGCAACCACTGCCATACCACACTCTCAGGTGTAAGAGTGGGATAGGTATACTTTTGGAGATCCATAAATAGGGAAGTTAATGCTTTTTCCCAAGCAAAACTGAAAGCAGTGCTCAGATGCACCAGGCCCAATGGCTATTTTCCTCACTGTAAAGCTTCTTTGTCTCCAGCCCATTCCATTAGGGTTGAAAAGTGAGAAACAGACCAAAACCTTCGCCTCGGAGAGAGTTACCAAAACATGAAAGACACCCACATACCTGTGGTCTGGATACCCAGTAAGTCTTTGAGGTACTTCTTCAAGGAATCTTTCGGAATTTCCATCGTCTTTCTCACAGGCTGAGTGTTTGGAACACCTAGTCTCAATGTAAAACCCAAGAGAGCTTCTAATTCCTTTACTGCAGTCTCTGGGTCATTAACCTGGTTTCAGAGAGAATATGTATATGTATATATTTTGTTGTTGTTATTTTTCCCTTCTTTTCACAGAATGTTGAGAATAAATATACATTTTTTTTTAATTTTACAATTCATGGTAGTACAAGTGTAGAGAATATATATTGAACAGGTGCCAGCAGTCAACCCTGGCCCCGGGGGCTCCTATCTGTTTCCTAGGAGGTGTCCGAAATGTTTGTTCCCCAGTGCCATAAAGACATAGCACTTGAACACAAATTTAATTTACTCAGGAAGGCCATTTTTACTTCCTGCAGAAAGGGTACACTCGCCAGCAGTTTTGCCACAAGAGTACACCAAACAAAGGAGACAGGGTCATTTATAACCTGACGCATCCACCCTACTGCTATGTCTGGTTTCGCTGGAATGGGACTTTTAAATTCTGTATTTATCCTGATTGGCGAGCAACTTAGAATTTTTTTTTTTTTTTTTTTAGATAGAAGTCTCACTCTTTCGCCCAGGCCGGACTGCAGTGGCGCTATCTTGCCACACTGCAAACTCTGCCTCCTGGGTTCACGCCATTCTCCTGCCTCGGTCTCCTGAGTAGCTGGGACTAAAGGCGCCCGCCACTGCGCCCAGCTAATTTTTTATATTTTTAGTAGAGACAGGGTTTCACCGTGTTGGCCAGGATGGTCTCCATCTCCTGACTTCATGATCCACCCGCCTGGGCCTCCCAAAGCGTTGGGATTACAGGCGTGAGCCACCGCACCCGGCCTAGAACTTTTTGAAAGAGGCAAAGGTAGAGGAGAACAAAGGAAGGAAGAAGTAACTTGTGGAATGCTGAGAAAAGTAAAAACACCTTCAAATAAGGAAGAGGAACAGGCTATGACCTAATGCTTGCTTGGACCAGTATAAGCATGCCAGGGCAAATATTTAGGCTAAATTGTGGGAGTAAAGAACATAAAGTACATTGATTTCTTTATCACAGCTAGCAGATATTTAAGAATGCTAGCACAGGTCTTCAAATACATTTTGCTTCTAAGAGAAGTTACTATTTATTCCTACTTAAGTGGGGAGGAAAGTCTTTGAAGAGGAACCTCTACTTTACTTTTTACAATTCCCCCTCTTTTTATTTTATAATTTCTCTTCAAATTTGTTTAATACGTTTTGATTTAATTGCTTTGTTTGTCCCTCTAATAGAAGTAATTTTTCCAAATAGGGTGGAGGAGAGTTTGGAGTTAACTCTGTACAGAGTGGCAGAGACAAGATTTTGTATAAAACTTCAAAGGCTGGGCGCAGTGGCTCATGCCTGTAATCCCAGCACTTTGGGAGGCTGAAGCAGGCAGATCACGAGGTCAGGAGTTTGAGACCAGCCTGACCAACATGGTGAAACCCCGTCACTACTAAAAATACAAAAATATTAACCGGGGATGGTGGTGTGCGACCGTAATCCCAGCTACTCAGGGGGCTGAGGCAGGAGATCACTGGAACCTAGGAGGCAGAGGTTGCAGTGAGCCGAGATTGAGCCACTGCACTCCAGCCTAGGTAACAGAGTGAGACTCTGTCTCAAAACAAACAAATAGCCGGGCGCGGTGACTCACGCCTGTAATCCCAGCACTTTGGGAGGCCGAGACGGGCGGATCACGAGGTCAGGAGATCGAGACCATCCTGGCTAACACGGTGAAACCCCGTCTCTACTAAGAAATACAAAAAACTAGCCGGGCGAGGTGGCGGGCGCCTGTAGTCCCAGCTACTCGGGAGGCTGAGGCAGGAGAATGGCGTGAATCGGGGGGCGCGGAGCTTGCAGTGAGCCGAGATCGCGCCACTGCACTCCAGCCTGGGTGACAGAGTGAGACTCCATCTCAAAAAAAAAAAAAAAAAAAAACCTTTGAAGGCCGGGAATAATATAACAGCCTACAAGAATAAGGACACCAATAACAAGAGCAAACGAGGTGAGAACTGAAGTTAAAACTTCTTTTTATCCACTGAACCAATGTTTTATTATTTTAGAAAATGGGTGATTTATTTTAGAATTTTTGGCAAGTTTATCAGATAGGGAGGTTAATACTGTAGCACTTTTGTTATAGTCCATCAGGGACAGTATTATTAGGAACGAAGGTACAATATTGAGTTTTAATTATGAAACAAACATCTTTTTTTTTTTGCTAATATTATTATTTTTTTTTGAGATGGAGTCTTGCTCTGTCATCCAGGCTGGAGTGCAATGGTGCAATCTTGGTTCACTGCAAGCTCTGCCTCCTGGGTGAACACCCCTACAAAGGTCTTAAGCCTACCATTCACCTCCTTTCCTATCTCTTTTCTCAAGCTGCCTTCTCAGTACCTGTTTGTCTTGCTTCTCATTGAAAATTCAAGCAGCTAGTCACATAGATTTCATAATTAACACAAAATAAGATGACTATGGAAATGTAGGGGGAAACCTTAAGGAAAGCTAGAGCTACAAATGTAAAAAGATTACAGAGAAATATGTTGCACTAGTGGCTCGTGCATGGGAGGGGGTTCAAAAAATAGTGACTATTACCTTAATGGTGTGAATACCAAGGCTGGCAGCTGCTTTTACATTTGGTCCAAGGTCATCAAGAAAGATAGACTCAGAGGGCTGCAGGCCGAGCCGCTCCAAGCACAGCTTGTAGATCCTAGGGTCTGGCTTACAGATCCCTTCCACGCAGGACTCCACGACCTGATGGAGGGACGGGAATGAGAGATGAATGTCCCTAAAGGTGGAGCTCCCACACGCATGCTGGTAAACTTTTTGAAAGGAAAAGCATAAGAAGGACAGTTGAGATTTATTATAACAAGTAATTTAAGATTGTTATGATATAAAATGATGTTGCCTTCTTAAATTGAGGAATTTGACAATACTGGGTTACAACATGGGGGCAAACTCGAGAAACCAAAATGTCTGTTTCAGACACTGTGACCCTGTGCAAACAAGCAAAGCTATAATGGGCCTCAGTGTCATCATCAACAAAATGGGAAGAATATTAATAGTCATCTTACCTATCTTAGCTCAGTAAGTTGTGAAACTTAAATGAAACTTAAGTGAGTTCCAAAATGACAAAGCATTTGGCTAATGTCACATCTTGGGGCTAAACAAAGCAGAAGAAAAGCTGTACATGTCAGCTTTATGGGAAGTAGTTCACCATTTTTTTTTTTTTTTTCAGAAAGAAGACACTGTCACAAGTATAAAATAAATACGAACTTAGTGTTTATTTTAGAGGTTTAAAAACCCATCCATACTCCATTTAGACAGAAATTCCATGGGAGGGCTGACACTGTTCCTGACATGCTAAGAGGCTCCTATACTCTGATGACCTTGCTTCAGCCACGTATCTGATCTGCAATGGGTGGCGGGTGCTGGTGAGAGTACAGGAGAACCTGGGAAAGCCTTCTCAGTGTCAGGCTGTCTCTGATCCACTGATTCCCCGAAAGTCCTTTTAGTGTCCCCAGGGCTTAATCTCCTATAGTGTGGGCCCAAGACAGCCACATAGCCTATAACCAATACCCTCTGATCTGCCCGAAGAACAGAACTAAATCTCTGACTTGCCATTTGGAATGACCCAGGCTCTCCAAGGCCAAGGACAAATCCAATGGCCCCTCTCTCTATCCCACACTTGCATTCTGGGTTGGGTGAGAACTGCCCTTTCAGGTAAATAAATGTCCGAATAAACTGGACCTTTCTACTTTCTCTTGTCTTCTAAGGACCTGAATGAGCTAAAAAAAAAAAAAAAAAAAGTCTAAGAAGCTACCCTAAAGAAAACGTCAATAGTGAGAAGTACAGAAGCAGGGTGTCTCAGACACCGATCGATGTAACGTACCACATGGAAGCGGCAGAGCTGTACTGGCTGAGACAAGACACAGGAAAGTGGAGGGAACTGTGGGGGATGGGGCAAAGTTCCAGGAAGCAGACAGCTCCTCTCACTAGGTGAATTACATTTGGGGGAAGTAAAATAAATTCTTAAGATTTGTTTGATAAGATCTCTAGCCTTCTTTTTCTGTTCTATTTTGCACACGATGGCATGAACTTATTCAGGGTTTCTATTACTTTCTTGGCAAACCAGGAACTGTGGGAACAAGGCCAGTGTTTTTCCAAATGTGGATCAGATAAAAATGATTTTATTTACCAAGGCTCTATCCCAGGAAGATGGAGGGGAAGCCTCCTTCTCAAGGTAAGCATGACAGAGGCTGTGTGGTAAGACAGAAGCATGGACAGAATCCGAAGTCCAAGTCCCTCACTGCATCTTGGGGTGTCTCACCCCAGCTGCACGGCAGAATCACCTGTGGAGCTTTTTTGAAATACACATAGGGCCGGGCGCGGTGGCTCAAGCCTGTAATCCCAGCACTTTGGGAGGCCGAGACAGGTGGATCACGAGGTCAGGAGATCGAGACCATCCTGGCTAACATGGTGAAACCCCGTCTCTACTAAGAAATACAAAAAACTAGCCGGGCGAGGTGGCGGGCACCTGTAGTCCCAGCTACTCGGGAGGCTGAGGCAGGAGAATGGCGTGAACCCAGGAGGCAGAGCTTGCAGTGAGCTGAGATCCGGCCACTGCACTCCAGTCTGGGCTACAGAGCGAGACTCCGTCTCAAAAAAAAAAAAAAAAAAAAAAGAAATACACATGCCTGGATCCCAACTAGACATACTCAACAAAAGCCTCCAGGGAAACAGACCCAGAATCTTTACAAACTTCCAGGTCATGTGATGTGTAGGCAGAGTTGAAAATCTTTAATCTCACTGGCCCAACGAAGGGTACAAATACAGCCAGGCATAGGCAGATGTAGGGCTAAGGGAATATGCCACTTCCTGGAGTCCAGCCAAAGTAGCTCTTCCAAAGATGGAAAGAATCAGAAAGGGGCTCTGGTAGCAAAATGTCCAATACTTGAGTTATCAGAGAAATTTCATCCAATGTGTTCCAGAGGTTACCATGACTCTCACTATATTTGGTGAGCTGTTCCCTTTTGCACTGACTCGGAATATCTTTGGAGCAATGGGCCAGGGGAAGGGTTCTTCTGATCCATCACAACTCTAAAAGGTGTTGGAAGATCAACTGCCAATCTGGGCTTTGGAGTCTCTAAAGGGAATTATCACTGCTGTTGGTTATAAGACAAAAACAAACATTTTTAAAGTATCCAAATAGGGCCGGGCATGGTGGTTCATGCCTGTAATCTCAGCACTTTGGGAGGCTGAGGTGGGTTGATCATTTGAGGTCAGAAGTTTGAGACCACCCTGGCCAACATGGTGAAACCCGCTCTCTAATATTAATAAAAAACAAAAACTAGCCAGGTGTGGTGGCATGCACCTATAGTCTCAGCTACTAAGAGGCTGAGGCACAAGAATTGCTTGAATCTGGGAGGTGGGGATGCAATGAACTGAGACTGAGCCACTGAACTCCAACCTGGGCGACCGAGAGAGACCCTCTCTCAGGGAAAAAACAAAGAGAGTACCCAAATAGGGGCCAGGCATGGTGGCTCATGCTTGTCATCCCAGCACTTTAGGAGGCCGAGGTGGGTAGATTACTTGAGGTCAGGAGTTCAAACTTTGGAGTCTCTATCCCAGGAAGATGGAGGGGAAGCCTCCTTCTTCCCTGGCCAACATGGTGAAACCCTGTCTCTACTAAAAATTCAGGGGTGGTAGTGCCAGGGGCAGTGCATGCCTGTAATCACAGCTACTCAGGAGGCTGAGACAGGAGAAATGCTTGAGCCTAGAAGAGGGAGGTTACAGTGAGCCGAGATGGTGCCACTGTACTTTAGCCTGGGCAACAGAGCAAGATTGTCTCAAGAAAAAAAAAAAAAAAAAAAATATATATATATATATATACACACACACACACATAAAAATAGGCCATGCACGGTGGCTCATACTTGTAATCCCAGCACTTTGAGAGGCGGAGATGGGCGGATCACTCGAGGTTGGGAGTTGAAGACCAGCCTGGCCAACACGGTGAAACCCCGTCTCTACTAAAAATATAAAAATTAGCCAAGCATGGTGGCACACGTCTGTAATTCCAGCTACTCAGGAGTCTGAGGCATGAGAATGGCTTGAACCTGGGAAGCGGAGGTTGCAGTGAGCTGAGATTGCGCCACTGAACTCCAGCCTGGGTTACAGAGCGAGACTCCATCTCAAAATAAATAAATAAAAATAAATAAATAAGTAAAGTACCCAAATACAGCCAAGCATGTCAAAACTATAGGTTTATCACATGACAGGTTGGGATACACACATGGAGCAGATGGATTTAGTATGGAAGTAAATCAGGCCAAGGAAGTCAGTAAAGTTTTATTGGACAGCACTGGTCTAGGAATTAATGTCACAGAAATAGAAGGCAACATAGTTCGTCTTAGAAAAGGCCAAAGGATCCATTAAGATGTAAGGGCTGATAGAGATACTTGTGTTATATGAAGACTAAGGTTCGAATTTAGAATGTAAAGCTGAAGTGTCAACCGGTTATCAAATGCCATAAATGTCTGACCTTGCTAAGAACACAGTGTTATTTTAAAAGGTCTGTTTTCAACCTATTGCATTTAAACCTAACTTAGTCAAGTGTCTGAAGGAAAAACTCCCTCACTCAAGACCTGTTAGAAGGCAGCATTTAACGCTGCACCCTGAAGCGAGGGCACAGATTCTGTTCCAATGGTTTTCAATTAGCTCAAGCTTACCACATCAAACTGTTTCCGGTCCAGGGGCAAAAAGCTTTTCTGGTTGGGAAGATAAAAATTATTGCTCAAGACTGCAGTCTGAAGACCTTTTGCCCGAATTTGAGTTATGGCCTCAGTCATCACTGGGAACTGCTTTGCCACTCGCTCACTGGTCAGCAGAGAGAAAAATGAGTCCACAGGCACGGAGGCTTTTGACTAAAAACAGGAGAGGGCAGGGGAGAACAGCAATCATTAAGAGTGACAAACACTCATGGCCAACAGAAAAAAAAAAATAAGCTTATTCCTGGAGTCCTTCTGCTCTCTGGCTACAGGAGCCGAGGCTCATAGCTTGCTGCCTGCAGGAACTGTGTTTCTCACTTCCTCAGCCCCTGTGCTGAACTCTCATATAAGATTTTAAAAAGTTACCTAGGACTAGAGTTATAGGCTAGGCACAGCTGCTCACACCTGTAATCCCAGCATTTTGGGAGGCTGAGGTGGGAGAACTGCTTGAGCTCAGGAGTTTGACACCAGCCTGGGCAACAAAGTGAGATCTAAAAAAAAAAGTTTTTTAACTTAGCCAGGCTTGGTGGCGCATACCTGTGGTCCCAGCTACTCAGGGGGTTGAGGTGGGAGGATGGCTTGAGCCTGGGAGCCTGGGGCTGCAGTGAGCTACGATCAAGCCATTGCACTCCAGCCTGAGCAACAGAGTAGGGAATGGAGCTATTTATACCAATATTACAATTAAATGAGTTCTTTATTCTGCTCATGGATTGCTAGTCGAAAAAAAAAAAACCAGCGTATCATAAGAGCATACAGTGAACTCTAAAAGTATATTAAGTATATGTAATTTAATTTTTAATGCTTGAGAAGTCATTTAATGCTTTTTGTATTGCCTCAGCATCACCATTATGAACTTTAGTTTCTGATCAATTTTTTTCTTGTTTTTAAATTCAATCTGTGTGGGTTTTGAAAACTCTTATAAGACCGGGCGCAATGGCTCACGTCTGTAATCCCAGCACTTTGGGAGGCTGAGGCGGGCGGATCACAAAGTCAGGTGATCAAGACCATCCTGGCTAACATGGTAAAACCCTGTCTCTAGTAAAAATGCAAAAAGTTAGCCAAGCGTGGTGGCACGCACCTATAGTCCCAGCTACTCGGGAGGCTGAAGCAGGAGAATAGCTTGAACCCAGGAGACGGAGGTTGCAGTGAGCCGAGACCATGCCACTGCACTCCAGCCTGGGCAACAGAGCAAGACTCCGTCTCAAAAAAAAAAAAAAAAAAGAAAACTTTTATATTATCACATTTCAAAATCTGCAAAGGCAAGCCTGCTATTTTATATATACATATACACACACAGATTTTAGAACAGCTTTACTGAAATATAATTCACATGCCATGCAAGTCACCTATTTAAGGAGTGCAATTCAGTGGTTTTTAATATATTCACAAAGTTGTGCAACCATCACTGCCATCAGTTTTAGGACATTTTCATTACTCTAAAGAGCAAATCAGCCAGGTGTGGTGGCTCACACCTGTAATCCCAGCACTTTGGGAGGCAGAGGCAGGCAGATCACAAGGTCAAGAGATCGAGACCTTCCTGGTCAACATGGTGAAACCCTGTCTCTACTAAAAATACAAAAATTAGCTGGGGCTGGTGGCGCATGCCTGTCCAGCTACTCGGGAGGCTAAGGCAGGAGAATCACTTGAACTCGGGGGGCAGAGGTTGCAGTGAGCTGAGACTGCTCCACTGTACTCCAGCCTGGGTGACAGAGCGAGACTCTGTCTCAAAAAAAAATTTTTTTTAAAAACAGTAAACCGGCCAGGCGCGGTGGCTCACGCCTGTAATCCCAGCACTTTGGGAGGCCGAGGCGGGCGGATCACAAGGTCAGGAGATCGAGACCACGGTGAAACCCCGTCTCTACTAAAAATACAAAAAAAATTAGCCGGGCGCGGTTGTGGGCGCCTGTAGTCCCAGCTACTCGGGAGGCTGAGGCAGGAGAATGGCGTGAACCCGGAAGGCGGAGCTTGCAGTGAGCCGAGATCCCGCCACTGCACTCCAGCCTGGGCGACAGAGCGAGACTCCGTCTCAAAAAAAAAACAAAAAACAAAAAAAAAAACAGTAAACCATACCCATTAACAGTCACTCCTCATTTCCCCCAAGTCTCCCTGTACTAGAAAACCACCAATCTACTTTCTATCTCTATGGATTTGCCTATTCTGAACATTTCACACAGATGGAATCACATACCATGTGGTCTTTTTTGACTGGCTTCTTTCACTTTGCATGTTTTCAAGGTTTCCTATTATATATACACATATATGTGTATATATATAAATTGTAGAAAATATATGTAACACAAAATTTACCATTTTAACCTTGTTTTTTGTTTTTGAGATGGAGTCTCACTCTGTCACCCAGGCTGGAGTGCAGTGGTGTAATCTCGATCTCAGCTCACTGTAACCTCTGCCTCCCAGGTTCAAGCAATTCTCCTGTCTCAGTCTCCCAAGTAGCTGGGATTACAGATGCCCACCACCACGCCTGGCTAAACTTTATATTTTTAGTAGAGATGGGGTTTCACCATGTTGGCCAGGCTGGTCTTGAACTCCTGACCTCAGGTGATCCGCCCACCTTGGCCTCCCAAAATGCTGGGATCACAGGCATGAGCCACCACACTTGACCATTTTTAAGTATACAGGGCAGTGGCATTAAGTACAGTCATGTTGTCGTGCAACCATCACCATCACCACCATCTACCTACAGAACTTTTCTTACTATATTTTAAATTATATTTTAGTAGACCCATTACAGTTACATGAGCTATATAAAGAGCTTAGAACAGTGCACAGTACAGAAAAAAATGTTCAATATTATTATTGTTTTAAATAAGCTGTTTTATCAAAGCCATTATGTAGACAGCTCCTGTTTTGGTATCTGTTGGAGGGGAGGTTTCAGGTTGCTGAATGCATGGAGGTGCTGGGAGAAGGGTGGCAGGCCCAGAAAGGGTACAATGGCTCTAAAACCTTTGCCCCCAGGTATCTTGTTATCTGGCTGTTCTTTCGTATCCTTCATAATATCCTTTATAATACACTAGAAAACATTAAAAAAATATATGCTGGCTGGGCGCGGTGGCTCAAGCCTGTAATCCCAGCACTTTGGGAGGCTGAGACGGGCGGATCACGAGGTCAGGAGATCAAGACCATCCTGGCTAACACGGTGAAACCCCGTCTCTACTAAAAAAATACAAAAAAACTAGCCGGGCGAGGTGGCGGGTGTCTGTAGTCCCAGCTACTCAGAAGGCTGAGGCAGGAGAATGGCGTGAACCCAGGAGGCGGAGCTTGCAGTGAGCCGAGATCCCGCCACTGCACTCCAGCCTGGGCGACAGAGCAAGACTCCGTCTCAAAAAAAAAAAAAAAAAATATATATATATATATATATATATGTATATGCTGGAGGAACTTAGTAAAGAATTTTTTTTTTTTTTTTGAGACAGAGTCTTGTTATGTTGCCCAGGCTGCAGTGCAGTGGCATGGTCATGGCTCGCTGAAGCCTCAGTCTCTAGGGCTCAAGCCTCAGCCTCCTGAATAGCTGGGACCAGAGGTGTGTGACACCATGCCTGGCTAATTTTTTTGATTTTTAGTAGAGACGAGGTCTGGCTATGTTGCCTAAGCTGGTCTCAAACTCCAGAGTTCAAACAGTTCTTCTATCTCAGCCTCCCAAAGTGCTGAAGTTACAGGCGTGAGCCACCACACCTGGCTAAGAATATTTTTAGTTATTCATATATAAATTGAACACCTAGGGGTGAAATAAATAACTTTTTTTTTTTTTAGACAGAGTTTCGCTCTTGTTGCCCAAGCTGGAGTGCAATGGCATGATCTCAGCTCACTGCAACCTCCACCCTCGAGGTTCAAGTGACTCTCCTGCCTCAGCTTCCCAAATAGGTGGGATTACAGGTGTGCGCCACCACAGCCAGCTAATTTTTTGTATTTGTAGTAGAAACGAGGTTTCACCATGTTAGCCAGGCTGGTCTCAAACTTCTGACCTCAGGTGATCCACCCTCTGGCCTCCCAAAGTGCTGGGATTATAGGCATGAGCCACAGCGCCTGGCCTAAGAAATAACTTTAAAACATGTAATGGGTTATAAGGTTTCACTTTATTTTCAGTTTAACTAACTTATACATGAATGTTGCAACCACTACTCAAGGCAAAAAGAAAAATATGGAAATGTAGGTATGTTTATCACTCACCATTTCAGAGCATAGTCTCCCAAATTCTCGTAAAAAACCCTCTGCTGTTATTTCTGCTCTCATAAATCTCATCCAGGGCCCATTTTCACCACCTTCCATCAAGGCCTTTAAAATAGTTCCAGAAGGGATACGATTCTGTACCTCCCATTCTATAGGAAGTAAAATATGCAAAAGTGGAATACATTGATACATGATGGGGTTTAGGGAGCTCAGGAAAATTACCATACCAGTTCCTATGGCCTCGCCGTACTGCCAGGGTGGATGCTGTTGGAAATTTGCAGACATTCACAAAATGCAAAATCTCAACCTTAGACACCCAGAGGAAGAACAATACTAATTTGTACGACAGAGAGCACACTGCTGTGAAGCATCAGGTCCTTAGTGCTTGCTTGAGAGGACTCTGGGCACTGCATGATGAATTTTCTTCCTTGGTCTCATATTCACCAGACCATATGTTAGGTCACTTACCTGGACCTGGCAGAGACTATGGAAGCACATGAAGGAATAAGCCAGATCCTGGTGGTCCCCAAATCATGCCCTTCCTTCTATAAGCTATAGTAATTCTTCACAGCATGGAATGGATACACTGAAATGTTTGCCTGAAATGCTGTCTTTGTAGATAAGGAAGGAAACGTCTTTTTTTCAGAAAAAGGCTCACTCAGTCACCCAGGCTGGAGTGCAGTGGTACAATCTCAGCTCACTGCAACCTCCGCCGCACAGGTTCAAGTGATTCTCATGCCTCAGCCCCGCAAGTAGCTGAGATTACAGGCATGCGCCACCAAGTCTGGCTAATTTCTGTATTTTCAGTAGAGACGGGGTTTCACCATGTTGGCCAGGCTGATCTCAAACTCCTGACCTCAGGTGATCCTCCTGCCTCAGCCTCCCAAGGTGCTGGGATTACAGGTGTGAGCCACTGCGCCTGGCCAAGAAGGAAATTTCTGTCCACAAAGAGATAAGGCAGTGGATGGATCAGCATCAGTATCTGTGGAATACTGGGAACATTTGTGCAAGGATTGTTTCTCCCCATCCACAGTTGCTTTTTCTGTCTACAGTACAGATGCTGGGGGCAAATATATACATACAACATTCATAATTATATATCTAAGACAAAATACACTTTACATATAGCTTTTGTTTTGGAATTAAAAAACCTTTGTTGTTTTTTTCTGATAAAGTAGTGCCTGTGCATTGAAAATTTTTCAGACAATATATTTCATAGAAAGCTATACAAAAGAAAGTAGGCTGAGTACAGTAGCTCACACCTATAATCCCAGCACTTTGGGAGGCCGAAGTGGGAGGATTGCTTGAGGCCAGGAGTCTGATACCAGCCTGGGCCACATGATGAAACCTTGTCTCTAGAAAAAATTTAAAAATTAGCTTGGCGTGGTGGCATGCACCTGTAATTCTAGCTACTTGGGAAACTGAGGTGGGAGGATCACTTAAGCCCAGGAGTTTGAGGTTGCAGTGAGCTATGATGGTGCCACCGCATTGCAGCCTGGGGACACAGAGCAAGACCCCATCTCTCTCTTTTTTTTTTTTTTTTTTTTGAGACGGAGTCTTGCTCTGTCGCCTGGGCTGGAGTGCAGTGGCCGGATCTCAGCTCACTGCAAGCTCCGCCTCCCAGGTTTACGCCATTCTCCTGCCTCAGCCTCCCGTGTAGCTGGGACTACAGGCGCCCGCCACCTCGCCCCGCTAGTTTTTTGTATTTTTTAGTAGAGACGGGGTTTCACCATGTTAGCTAGGATGGTCTCGATCTCCTGACCTCGTGATCCGCCCGTCTCGGCCTCTCAAAGTGCTGGGATTACAGGTTTAAGCCACCGCGCCCGGCCAAGACCCCATCTCTTAAAAAAAAAAAAAAAAAAAAAGAAGAGGAAGGGGAAGGAAGGAAGGAAGGAAGGAAGGAAGGAAGGAAGGAAGGAAGGAAACAGGACAAGCAATCCTATCTTTCAGAAATAGCCAACGTTAACAATCTGGTATATGTCCTTTGAAAATAACGAGACAGTTAAAACTCAATCCAAAAAATACTTCTTTAATTTTAGAGCTAAAGCATATAGCATTTTTCACAGCCCCGGAGTTAGTAAGCATGTGAGGAAACTGGCACCTCATATGCTGTTGATGGGAGCGTAAACAAGCAGAACCTCTGCAGACACAGCAATTTGATAATTTCTGTCAAAATCTGAAATGCACATACATTTGATGCAGTAATTCTACTTCCAGAAATTTCTTCCATATATATTTATGAAAGTAAGCAAAGGTTATGTACAAGGCTGTTTGTGCAGAATTGTTCATAATAAAAATAACTAGAAAAGTTAAATGTATATTAATAAGGTGCTTATTACATCAATTATGATATATTCAGATAACGGAATACCACACAGATGTTAAAACATATAAACTTGCCCAAAGGTCAGCAAAATATGGTTTGGGGGCAAATCTGTCTCCTATCTATTTTTTTAAGAGATGGGGTCTTGCTGTGTTGCTCAGGCTGGCCTCGAACTCCTGGGCTCAAATGAACCTCCACCTCAGTCTCCCTAGTAGCTGGAACTATAGGCACACACCAGCATGCCTGGCTCTACCTATTTTCGTAAATAAAGTCTTATTGGAACACAGCCACACTTGTTTACTATTGTCTATTATTGCTTTCTTGCTGCAATGGTAGAAGTTAATAGTTATGACTGAGAGTATGGCTCACAAGGCCTATCTAGCCTTTCTTTATTTTTTTTTTTAAGATGGGGTCTTAAAATACAAGTAGCATTTACAACAGCAAAAAAAAAAAAAAAAAAAAAGATGGGGTCTTGCTGCTGCCCAGGCTGGGGTGCTGTGGCACAGTCATGGCCCACTTCAGCCTCAAGCTCCCAGGATCAAGTGATCCTTCTGCCTTAGCCTCCTGAGGAGCTGGGATTACAGGTGCGTGCTACCATACCGAGCAATTTTTTTATTTTTTGTAGAAATGGGGATCTCACTATGTTGCCCAGGCTAGTCTCAAACTCCTGGCCTCAAACAATCTCCCACTTCGGCCTCCCAAACTGCTGGGATTGTAGGCATGAGCCATCGCATCCACTATGTCTAGCGCTTTACAGAAAAAGTTTGCTAAGCCCCAAACTAGATCGTAGACATATGCCAACTGATATGAAAAAGATGGCAAAATATCATACTGAGTCAAAAAAAGGTATGGAACAGTCTACAGCATATGATCCAGTTTGTATACACACACACAGACACACACACTCACACACACACACACGGGCAATTTTTTGAAAATAAACAAGAAACTTTTCACAATGATAATCACTGAAGTCTGGAATCAACTGGGAAAGGGTTGAGGTGGCAGCAGGAAATTTCCTCTGTATTTTATACTCTTTTAGCAGTTACTATTCAATAAATGGGGTTGGCATAACTAGGTTTCAATATGGAATAAAAATTAAATTAAATAATCTTTCAGGCCATCACAAAACCAATTCCCAATACAGTAAATATCCAAGTCAGAAAAATAAAATTCTAAAAAATTGAAAACAATACAGAAGGCTAGGCATGGTGACTCATGGCTAAAATCCTAGCACTTTGGGAGGTGGAGGTGGACAGATTGTTTACACTCCCAAGTTCAAGTTCATGTTTTAACATCTGTGTGGTATTCCGTTACACTCCCAAGGCCAGCCTGGGTAACATAGTGAAACCCTATCTCTACAAAAAATACAAAAATGAGCCAGGTTTGGTGGTGCAAGCCTGTAGTCTCAGCAACCTGTGAGGCTGAAGGAGGACAGCTTGAGCCTGGGAGGCAGAGGTTGCAGTGAGCCAAGGTCACTCCACTTTACTCTAGCCTGAGTGGCAGAGTGAAATTTCATCTTGAAAGAAAAACAAAACTTTGGTACAGCTAAAACCATTATCAATAAAATCAAAAGACAATGCATAAATGAGAAAATATTCGCAAGTGATACAACAGATAAAGGTTATTACTAGCCAGGCGCAGTGGCTCACGCCTGTAATCCCAGCATTTTGGGAGGCAGAGGCAGGAGGATTACCTGAGGTAGGGAGTTCAAGACCAGCCTGACCAACATGGAGAAACCCCGTCTCTACTAAAAATACAAAATTAGCCGGGCGTGGTGGTGCATGCGTGTAATCCCAGCTACTTAGGAGGCTGAGGCAGGAGAAGTGCTTGAACTTGGGAGGTGGAAGTTGTGGTGAGCCAAGATTGCGCCACTGCATTCCAGCCTGGGCAACAAGAGCAAAACTCCATCTCAAAAAGAAAAAAAGGTTATTACTGAAAATTAGCAAGAAAAGTGAGCAATTCATGGAAAAACTGAACGACCAATAATATTAAAAAAAAAAAAAAGAAAGGCTCACTACTCAGGAGGCAGGAGGATCACTTCAGATTAGGAGTTTGAGACCAGCCTGACAGCCTGGGCAATACAGCAAGATGCTCTCTCAGAAAACAAACAAACAACAACAACAACAACAACAAAACAAAGCCAGCCAGATGCAGTGGCTTGTGCCTATAATCTCAGCACCTTGAAACTCTGAGGCAGGTGGGTCATTTCAGGTCAGGAGTTCGAGACCAGCCTGGCCAACATGGTGAAACCCCATCTCTACTAAAAACATACAAAAAATTAGCCAGGCATGGTGGTACACGCCTGTAGTCCCAGCTACTAGAAAGGCTGAGCCATGAGAATAGCTTGAACTAGGGAGGCAGAGGTTACAATGAGCCGAGATCACACCACTGCACTCTAACCAGGGTGACAGAGTGAGACTCCGACTCAAAAAAAATAAAAAATAAAAGGCTCAAACTCAGTCACAATCAGGCAAATGAACATTAAAATAACAGAAAGAAAAAAAAAAAAAAAGGCCAGGCCCGGTGGCTTACGCCTATAATCCCAGCACTTTGGGAGGCTGAGGCGAACGGACCACGAGGTCCGGAGATTGAGATCATCCTGGCTAACACAGTGAAACCCGTCTCTACTAAAAATACAAAAAATTAGCAGGGCATGGTGGCAGGCGCCTGTAGTCCCAGCTACTCAGGAGGTTGAGGCAAGAGAATGGTGTGAACCCAGGAGGCGGAGCTTGCAGTGAGCCGAGATGGCATCACTGCACTCCAACCTGGGCAACACAGCAAGACTCTGTCTCAAAAAAAAAAAAAAAAAAAGAGACCAACCTGGTCAACATGGCGAAACCCTGTCTCTACTAAAAATACAAAATTAGCTGAGTATGGTGGCACACACCTGTAATACCAGTTACTTCGGAGGCTGAAGCATGAGAATTGCTTGAACCTGGGAGATGGAGGTTGCAGTGAGCCAAGATCACGCCATCGCACTTCAGCCTGGGCAACAGAGTGAGGCTCTGTCTCAAAAAAAAGGAAAAGGAAAGAAACCACAAAGATGGAATTTTCATCTACCACACTAACAAAATTTTTTTTTTTTTTTTTTGAGGCGGAGTCTCGCTCTGTCGCCCAGGCTGGAGTGCAGTGGCCGGATCTCGGCTCACTGCAAGCTCCGCCTCCCGGATTTACACCATTCTCCTGCCTCAGCCTCCCGAGTAGCTGGGACTACAGGCGCCCGCCACCTCGCCCAGCTAGTTTTTTGTATTTTTTAGTAGAGACGGGGATTCACTGTGTTAGCCAGGATGGTCTCGATCTCCTGACCTCGTGATCCGCCCGTCTTGGCCTCCCAAAGTGCTGGGATTACAGGCTTGAGCCACCGCGCCCAGCCTAACAAAAATTTTAAAGTCAAACATTCTGAAATTTCGAAATCATTATACCCTCTGAATTCAATTTTTTTTTTTCAAGATGGAGTCTTGATCTGTCACCCAGGCTGGAGTGCAGTGGTGCCATCTTGGCACACTGCAACCTCTGCCTCCTGAGTTCCAGCAATTCTCTTGCCTCAGCCTCCTGAGTATCTGGGATTACAGGCATGGTTTACCATGCCCAACTAATTTTTTTTTTTTTTTTTTTGAGACAGAGTCTCGCTCTGTCGGCCAGGTTGGAGTGCAGTGGTGCGATCTTGGCTCACTGCAAGCTCCACCTCCCGGGTTCATGCCATTCTCCTGCCTCAGCCTCCCAAGTAGCTGGGACCACAGGCGCCTGCCACCACACCCAGCTAATTTTTTGTATTTTTAGTAGAGACAGGGTTTCACCATGTTAGCCAGGATGGTTTCAATCTCCTGACCTCGTGATCCAACCACCTTGGCCTCCCAAAATGCTGGGATTACAAGCATGAGTCACCATGCCCGGCCTAAATTCAATCTTAAAGTGTTTGAGCTTTGGTATGAAAATGCATTTTTGGAGAAAAATAAAGTAAAATAAAAAATAAAAAACTAAAATGTTTGGGCTGTACTTTGAATTCTTTGTTGTGTGTACTAATTTTATAGTAAACTAATAGCTTAAATCAAGCTTTTCTGAAAAGGGCCAGATGATAAATATTTTAGGCTTTGAAGGCATTAGGGACCCTGTTGAAATTACTCAACTCTGCCAGTGCAGGGCAAAAGCAGTCATGGACAATATGTAAACAAATGGGCAAGACAGTTTTCTAAAAAAATTTCATTTTTATGGACATTGAAATGTGAATTTCACATAATTTTCACATGTCACAAAATATTATTCTTGTTTTGATATTTTTCAATTAGTATTTCAAAACATAAAAGTCATTCTTGGCTGACAGGCCATACAAAAACAGACAGCAGGTGAGGCATGGTAGCTCACACCTGTAATTCCAATGACTCAAGAGGCCAAGGCAGGAGGATCACTTGAGCCCAGGAGTTTGAGACTAGCTTGAGCAACATAGCAAGACCCCATCTCTATAACAAACAAAAATTAGGCACAGTGGCTAACACCTGTAGTCCAGCTACTTGGGAGCATGAGGCAGGACTGTTTGAGCCCAGGAGTTTCAGACTGCAGTGACAGTCTTGCTCTGTCTCCCAAGCTGCAGTGCAATGGTGTGATCTCAGCTCACTGCAACCTCTGTTTCCTGGGTTCAAGCGATTCTCCCTGCTCAGCCTCCAGAGTAGCTGTGATTACAGGTGCCCACCACCATGCCTGGCTTATTTTTGTATTTTTAGTACAGACAGGGTTTTGTCATGTTGGCCAGGCTGGTCTCAAACTCATGACCTCAAGTGATCCACCCATCTCTCGTCCTCCCAAAGTGCTGAGATTACAGGTGTGAGCCACCGCACCTTGCCAATTCTAGCATATTCTTATCAAATGACCCTTGATATGGTTCATTTGAAATAAACATCAGAAGCTCCAGTCAAGCAAAAGACAAAGTATAAGGCATCACTATTTTTTTCACACACCTACCCATCAAATATTTCCTGAATGACTGAGACAGCCTGCAGAGCTAACACTGCAACAGTGAAGTGAAGAAATCCCAGATCTGGGGTCCTGGAATCCAAGAGCCCCATAGAGGAGACATGAACACATCCCACTGCAAACTAAAATGTCTCGGTGAAGGTGAAACTTGCATGGGAATTGGTTATCCAGGAACATTCTGCCCAGGTTGCAAATGAGGTTGGAGAAGTCTTGACAGAAGAGGACTCTTGAAGTTAATAACAACCATGAGATTTATTGAGTGTTCAAAAGATTCCAGTCATTGCTGAATAATATCCCCTTAAATTTGCCATTAAAAGCATCAGTAGGATTTGAACAGGCAGAGGAGACAGGGAGGAAACAGAGCTTGCAAAGGCATAAACATGCAAATGCGCCTGGCATGCCTGGGGAGCATCAGGTAGTCCATACCAGGAAAACTAGAACTGAGAGGAGCCCTGAATCCCAGGCGAAAGCTTCCAGACTTAATCTAGGGGACTACATGCAGGCATTCAAGGTTTTCAAGCCAGGGATGAAAGGAACAAGATCTATGCTTTATTTTTATTTTATTTATTATTTTGTGACAGGGTCTCACTTTGTCACCCAGGCTGGAGTGCAGTGGTGCAATCTCAGCTCACTGAAGCCTCAACTGCCTGGGCTAAAGTGATCCTCCTACCACAGCCCCTCAAGTAGCTGGGACTACATCCATGCACCACCACACCCAGGTAAGTTTTTTGTATTTTTCGTAGAGATGAGGTTTCACCAGGTTGGCCAGGCTGGTCGTGAACTCCTGTGCTCAAGTGATCTGCCCACCTTGGCCTCCTGAAGTGCTGAGATTACAGGTGTGAGCCGCTAAGCGCAGAAGCAAGATCTATGTTTTAGAAAGGTAATTCTGGAGCTGGGAGGAGATTTTGTAAAATCCAGAAAGCCAGAGGCAGGGAAAGAGTTAGGAGGCTGATGACATCATTTGGGTGAGAGAAGGCAAGGGTGGAGGCAGTGGGAATGGAGAGAAGTGAATTGGTTCTTAAGATATTCTGGAGAAAGTCAAGAAACTTTCTGTTCACTGATCTTTATGTTCTTCCCCACTGCCTTTTTTTTTAGAGACAGGTTCTCTAAAAAAGCCTGTTGCCCAGTCTGGGATGCAGTGGTGCAATCCTAGCTCAAGATGGGGTCTCACTGTGTTGCTCAGGCTTAGTCTTTACATTCTTTGTAAAAGAATAGATTCAGCTGTCTGCAGAACAAGAATATTTGGGGGTGGTAAGGAGCAGGGGGAGCAGACAGTCTGGAACAGCCCCTGAGGTAAACATGACAGAGATATGAGTGAAGGAACAGAGAGGCTCAGGTGTAGCACCAAGGGCCCACCTGAGGCTGGAGCTCAAAACTAGCTTGTGCAGCCAGTTTGCATGGCTGAGTAATTTGGTCAGCAGTGCTGGAAAGCCTAGACATGCAGGCATAGAAAACCTGTGCCTGGGTTGATTCAGGATGGAGAACTGGCCAGCTGGCCACTGCAGAAGCTCAAAAGGAGAGGGATGGCTGTCTGTCTGCCCCTTTGTCCTTCTTGCTGGCTGGCATGAGAATGTGATAGCAGCAGGTGAGACAGCCAAGACAGACCACGAGGTGAGAGTGGAAATGAAAAGTCACAGTAGAGCAACATGCTAGGAAGAGCTGGAGTCCCTGATACCACAGAGTCACATCACACAGTGCCCCAGACCACATACCTGGGCTTTTATGTGCAAGAGAAACTTCTAGCTTGTTTCAGTCACTATTTTTTTTAGGTTTTCTACTGCCTGAAGCCAAAACGACTCTAACTAATAAAAGCTGAACTGAGTAGAAAAGAAGTAAAACCAGGAAGGGGCAGGTAAAGAGAAGACCAGACACCAGAGGGCTGACTCTTACCCTGTCAGTCCAGAAGCAGGTTTAGAGGGAGTGGGGTAGAACAGAGGAAGGCTGTAATCAAAAGGGGACTTTCAGCATTCTAGATTTCAGAAGCAGCACAGTTCCCAAGAAAAAGTGGTTAAATTCTTTGGGTTTTTTGTTTGTTTGTTTTTGAGTAAGGGTCTTCCTCTGTTACACAGGCTGGAGTGCAGTGGCATGATCACGGCTGACTACAGCCTCAACCACCTGGACTCATGTGATCCCCCCACCTCAGCCTCCTAAGTAGCTAGAACTACAGGTGCATGTCAACGTGCCCAGATAATTTTTAAATTTCTGCAGATATGGGGTCTCATTATGTTGTTCAGGCTGGTCTTGAACTCCTGGGCTCAAACGACCCTCCCACTTCGGTCTCCCAAAGTGCTGGGATTACAGGCCTCAGTCACTGTGCCCTGCCTTGGTGGTTAAATTCTAATCACAGTACTCATGGCAGCTCATCATTGATTGAGAATTTAGGATGCACTGAGCAATCACTGTGCTAAGCAAGTGCTTCCCATGGATAACTCTCCGCCAGATCCCAAGGAGGAAGGCACTACCATTAGCTCTCATTTAATGATGAGGAAAGTAAGATCTGGAGAAGCTAAACCATGCGCCCAAGACACTCAGCCCCCTAGTGGCGCTTGGAATTTGACTCGAGAGCCAGAGCATGGCCTGCTAGGACACACTGCTGCCCAAGTGTTCCCCTCTGCCTTCCTGATCACCCTCCATTCTCCCACCGCCACCCTAGTCCCCCAAAGTGAAACAGAATGAATAGCTCACCCGCAGCGACTCTCCCGGGAGAAGGAATGAGAACTCCGCCCATGTCGAAAATCACTGCTCTATAGGTGCTGCCTCCAAGGTGCGTCCATCGGTGGGACCCCTGGTGCCTGCGCTGGATGTGTTTCAGGAAGGCTGTCCTCCACGCCCACTGGAGACAGGAGGACTGGAAACAGCTCCTTACACACATGGTGAAGCCGAGGCTGTGTGGGAAGAAGGCACAGGGCGTGACGTGCCTGCACTGCCTCCCACACAGGCCTCCATCCTAGAGTCAGAGGGGCCAGCCAGACATCTCTAACCCATCTCCAACAGGCACTTCGAATCACACCCACAACTGACCTCAGTGTCTCCTCCCTCCCTGGCTACCCGGTCAAGGGCTCCATCGCTCACTCGGCTGCCCAAGCTAGAAAGCTGGGACTCGCCCTGACTTTCCGCAATTTCTTTTTTTTTTAGAGACGGAGTCTTGCTCTGTCACCCAAGCTGGAGTGCAGTGGCACAATCTCAGCTCACTGTGAGCTCCGCCTCCCGGGTTTACACCATTCTCCTGCCTCAGCCTCCGGAGTAGCTGGGACTACAGGTGCCCGCCACCACGCCCAGCTAATTTTTTGTATTTTTAGTAGAGACGGGGTTTCACTGTGTTAGCCAGGATGGTCTCAATCTCCTGACCTCGTGATCTACCCGCCTTGGCCTCCCAAAGTGCTGGGATTACAGGCATGAACCACCACACCTGGTAACTTTCCGCAGTCTTTACCTCACCACGCCCCATATAGTTCTGTGCTGTCAAGTCTTCCTCCTGAAAATCTCATCTACCTCTTTGCATTCTCACTGCCACCATCTTGCCCATGGATCCTAACTGGCCCCCTTGCCTCTTCTCAGACCTCTCTCCAATTTTTTCTTCACCCTCCAGTCAGAGTATTCTTTCAAAATTGCAAATCTGGGCCAGGCACAGTAGCTCATGCCGGTAATCCCACCACTTTGGGAGGCCGAGGTGGGTGGATCACCTGGGGTTGGGAGTTCGAGACCAGCCTGACCAATATGGAGAAACCCCATCTCTACTAGAAACACAAAATTGGCTGGGCATGGTGGCACATGCCTGTAATCCCCTCTACTCTGGAGGTTGAGGCAGGAGAATCGCTTGAATCCGGGAGGTGGAGGTTGCAGTGAGCCAAGATCGTGCCATTGCACTCCAGCCTGGGCAACAAGAGCAAAACTCCATCTCAAAAAACAAACAAACAACTCTTTCAATGGCTCCTCATTGCCCTTAAAATAAACTCTCAATTCCTAAGCCTGGCTTAAAAGGCCCTCTAAGGTCTACTCCCATCAGGCACAGTGGCACAGGCCTGTAATCTCTTCACTTAGGGAGGCTGAGATGGGCAGATCACTTGAGGTCAGGAGTTGGAGACCAGCCTGGCCAACATAGCGAAACCCCATCTCTACTAAAAAACACAAAAATAAGCTGGACATGGTGTTGGGCGCCTGTAATCCCAGCTACTCGGGAGGCTGAGGTAGGAGAATTGCTTGAACCTGGGAAGCGGAGGTTGCAGTGAGCTGAGATTGTGTCACTGCAGTCCAACCTGGTTGACAAAGCCAGACCCCATCTTAGGAAAAACAAAACAAAAAAAAAACTCATTCCTTTTTGCAGCAACTCCCCATTTTTTCTCCTCAACCTGGGATGATCTGGACACGCATATCTACATGCAGTTTCCTCAAACCCATGTTCTCCTCCTTTGCAATGCTGTGTTCCACCAGCTGCCTGGCTAATTCCAAACAGTCCTTTGGGTTGTAGTTTACCAGTCTCTGTCTTCATGAAGCCTCTTCTGGAAGTCAGAAAAGACTCATTAGGAGTTTCTCCTGTGTGCTCCTAAGATGTCCTGTACTCGCCTCCTCCTAGCACTTACGATGACACCCTCACACCACAAAACACTATCATTTCCACTTACAGATCACTGCAGCAGCCTAGTAACTGTTCCCCAAACTTACTTTCAAACGGTTCAGAAAAAAAAAAAAGACAGACACAACACACATACATGCACACGTATACAGATGCATACCTATATACACCTGTGTATAGAGAAAACCAAACATGGCCAGACATTAATAGTGAGTCTAGATGAAAGGTATAACGGGAGATTATTGTTCTTTCGACTTTTCTATAAGCTTGAAATAAAAAGATGGGGAAAAAACCAAAATAATAAAGGAAAATTCTAGTTTCTTCATGAAAATTTTTAAGCTTTTGATGTGATTTCTACAGTTAAAAAGCTTACTAAAAATCAGGAGAGTGCAAAACAGGTTGGTAAGACAGCCTCTGAGTTTAGAGGAGTCAATTCCGTGGGGCCAAAAGGACTCCATAACTATATAGTTTGAGCATCCCCCATCCAAATATCTGAAATCTGAAATGCTCCAAAATTAGAAACTTTTTTATTTTTGAGAGTCTCACTCTGTTGCCCAGGCTGGAGTGTAGTGGCATGAATTTGGCTCACTGCTACCTCTGCCTCCCGGGTTCAAGTGATTCTCCTACCTCAGCCTCCCAAGTAGCTGGTACTACAGGTGGTACCAGGCACCACCATACCTGGTTAATTTTTGTATTTTTAGTAGAGATGGGGTTTCGCCATGTTGGTCAGGTTGGTATCAAACTCCTGACCTCAGGTGATTCACCTACCTTGGCCTCCCAAAGTGCTGGAATTACAGGCGTGAGCCACAGTGCCCGGCCAGGACTCAAAAAACTGCACAGGTTGAGCATCCCTAATCCAAATATCCAAAACTCAAAGTGATCCAAAATCCAAAACTTTTTGAGCCCCCACACGATGCCACAGTGAAAAATTCCACACGTAAGTACTTAACACAAACTTTGTTTCATGCACAAAATTATTTAAAATATTGTATAAAATTACCCTCAGTCTATATGTATACAATGTATATGAAACATAAGTGAATTTCATGTTCAGACTTGGGTCCCAACCCCAAGATATCTCATTATACATATGCAGATATACCAAAATCCAAAATCTGAACTACTTCTGGTTCCAAACATTTGGGATAAGGGATACTCAACCTCTATAAGCACCTAGAGAAAGGACTCTTAAGTGGTAAATCCTGAATATAATGTGTTTCTCATGTATAGTCAGCCCTCTGTATTTGTGAGTTCCACATCTGCAGATTCGGCCAACCACAATAGAAAATATTCTAAGTAAAACAAAACACACACACACAGTACGGGCGCAGTGGCTGACACCTGTAATGCCCAGAACTTTGGGATGCCAATGCAGGCGGATCACCTGAGGTTGAGAGTTCGAGACCAACCTGGTCAACATTGTGAAACCCCGTCTCTACTAAAAATACACACAAAAAAAATTAGCTGGGTGTGGTGGTGCACGCCTGTAATCCCAGATACTCGGGAGGCTGGGACATGAGAATCACTTGAACCCGGGAAGTGGAGGTTGCAGTGAGCCAAGATCGCACCACTGCACTCCACATTCCAGCCTGGGTTATACAGCGAGACTCCATCTCAAAAACAAACAAACAAAAAAACCCAATAAAATAACAATACAACAAAAAATGCAAACAAAAAATACAGGCTAACAACTATTTACATAGTACTTACACTGTTTTAGGTATACATATATATGTATGTATATATTTATATATTTTGATATGAGTATAATTTGATACATATTGGCCGGGCGCGGTGGCTCAAGCCTGTAATCCCAGCACTTTGGGAGGCCGAGACGGGCGGATCACGAGGTCAGGAGATCGAGACCATCCTGGCTAACACAGTGAAACTCCGTCTCTACTAAAAATACAAAAACTTAGCCGGGCGAGGTGGCAGGCGCCTGTAGTCCCAGCTACTCGGGAGGCTGAGGCAGGAGAATGGCGTGAACCCAGGAGGCGGAGCTTGCAGTGAGCTGAGATCCGGCCACTGCACTCCAGCCTGGGTGACAGAGCGAGACTCCGTCTCAAAAAAAAAAAAAAAAAAAAAAAATTTGATACATATAATATATATTAAATATATATTTTTGTTGATATGGTGTCTCCCTCTGTCACCAGGCTATAGTGCAGTGGCATGATCTTGGCTCACTGCAAACTCCGCCTCCCAGGTTCAAGCGATTCTCCTGCCTCAGTCTCCCAAGTAGCTGGGATTACAGGTGTGCGCCACCACGCCCAGCTAATTATTGTATTTTTAGTGGAGACAGAATTTCACCATGTTGACCAGAATGGTCTCGATCTCCTGACCTCGTGATCCACCCACCTCAGCCTCCCTAAGTGCTGGGATTACAGGCGTGAGCCATCATGTCCGGCCAGTATTATGAGTAATCTAGGGATTACTTAACTCATATCCTGCTTGCCCTGAGAATACTGTGCTGGCAGCGTGCTGCACATTTTTTGCTCTTTTTTTTTTTTGAGACAAAGTCTCGCTCTGTCGCCCAGGCTAGAGTGCAGTAGCGTGATCTCGGGTCACTGCAACCACCTCCCGGGTTCAAGCAGTTCTCTTGCCTCAGCCTCCTGAGTAGCTGAGACTACAGGGCTTGCCACCACATCCAGCTAGTTTTTTGTATTTTTAGTAGAGAGGGGTTTTCACAATGTAGGCCAGGCTGGTCTTGAGCTCCTCACCTTAAGTGATCCACCTGCCTCGGCCTCCCAAAGTGCTGGGATTACAAGCATGAGCCACTGTGCCTGGCCAAGTACTTTTTTTTTCTAAACGGGAAATGGGTTAAAGCATATAGGAGGGTGTGCATAGGTTATAAACAAATGCTACACCATTGAATATCAGGAACTTGAGCATCCACAGATTTTGGTATCTGCAGGGAGTCCTGCAACCATCTGCTGAGGATACCACCATGCAATGACAGTAAGTGGAAATTTGCTCAATTTGGGGGCAATATTTGAAACTAAAAATGTCAAGGTTCATTCGTATTTTCAGTTTTACTTACGTTCCTATGCCAAGGCCAATGTTTATGATAGAAGGAGAAATTTACTTACACACTTGTAAAAGTGGTCAATACATTTTGTGTGAGGGCTTAGTGGAGATGAAAAATGCTTTTGGGGCCTGAAGGGGCAACTTTAATCCTTATGGAGGACACTATCCTCCACGTAGTCCCGCTAACCAACATGTGGGAAATGTTCCCACAAGCAGTCTGCTTATTCCTTCAACTACAGAAGACTGTTCTGCTCTAGCCACTTCCCAAGGCAGGAAATGCTGTCATTTCTCATACCTCTAGGCCTTGGTACCTGCTGGGCTCACTGACTGGAACACCTTTCCCTGCTTTATCTGTTAGATGAATTTCCATTCACTTTGACATCATAACCTCAGTTTTAGCTCCTCTGGGGAGCCTTTTCTTTTCTTTTTCCAGGTAGAGTGTGGGACTTTTTTTTTTTCACTCCCATTGCCTCTTCTCCAAATCTTCGGCAGAGCACTTACCCCATTACGCAGTAACTGCTTTCATTTTTTTTTCTTGAGACAGAGTCTTGCTCTGATGACCAGGCTGGAGGGCAGTGGAGCAATCTTGGCTCACTGAAGCCTCTGCTTCCCAGGTTGAAGCAATTCTCCTCCCTCAGCCTCACATGTAGCTGGGACTGCAGGCGTGCACCACCATGCCCGGCTAAGTTTGTTTTTTTTTGAGACAGAGTCTTGCTCTGTCTCCGAGGCTGGAGTGCAGTGGCTCAATCTCGGCTCACTGCAAGCTCTATGTCCTAGGTTCACATCATTCTCCTGCCTCAGCCTCCTGAGTAGCTGGGACTATAGGCGCCCACCACCTCGCCCAGCTAATTTTTTGTATTTTTAGTAAAGATGGGGTTTCACTGTGTTACCCAGGATGGTCTCGATATGCTGACCTCATGATCCGCCCACGTTGGCCTTCCAAAGTGCTGGGAATACAAGGTTTTGTACTTTTTTTTAGTAGAGTCGGGATTTCACCATGTTGGCCAGGCTGGTCTTGAACCCCTGACCTCAAGTGATCCTCCCATCTCAGCCTCCCAAAGTGCTGGGATTACAGGCAAGAGCCACCGTGCCCGGCCTGTTTTCACGTCTACGTGTTCCTGAACTCATAAGCTCCTTTTAAGACAAGGACTATCTTATTCATCTCTCTCTATATATATACATCCCCTGGGACTTAGTACAGGTTTTAGACACATAGCAGGTGCTTCATATGAGTTGGAAGGATGCATAAACTGGAGATATCAGAAAATAGGGAAAAGCTGGGTACAGGTTTAATCCTTGGCAGCCACAAAGAGCTGTAACATTCCCAACCTGCCCAACTCTGGCTAACAGTTCTAGTTATCTGTTACTGGTATCTACCATAAAGAAGATTTGTCAGGCTGGGCGCAGTGGCTCACGCCTGTAATCCCAGCACTTTGGGAGACCGAGGCGGACAGATCACCTAAAGTCAGGAGTTCGAGACCAGCCTGACCAACAAGGCAAAACCCCATCTCTACTAAAAATACAAAAATTAGCCGGGCATGGTGGCAGGTGCCTGTAATCCCAATTATTCGGGAGGCTGAGGCAGGATAATCACTTGAACCTAGGAGGCGGAAGTTGCAGCGAGCCAAGATGGTGCCATTGCACTCCAGCCTGGGCGACAGAGCGACACTGTCTCAAAAAAAAAAAAAAAAAAAGATTTGTCTTCTTTCTGACACTCAAAATGGGATTAGCATGATAATGCAGACTTGCTACCTAAATGATGTTCTCATAAAAATGCACACACAGTGTGTGTTGTCATACATTAAGAAGATGCTGGCCGGGCGCGGTGGCTCAAGCCTGTAATCCCAGCACTTTGGGAGGCCAAGACGGGCGGATCACGAGGCCAGGAGATTGAGAGACGATCCCGGCTAACACGGTGAAACCCCGTCTCTACTAAAAAATACAAAAAAACTAGCCGGGCGAGGTGGCGGGCGCCTGTAGTCCCAGCTACTCGGGAGGCTGAGGCAGGAGAATGGCATAAACCCGGGAGGCGGAGCTTGCAGTGAGCTGAGATCCGGCCACTGCACTCCAGCCTGGGTGACAGAGCAAGACTCCGTCTCAAAAAAAAAAAAAAAAGAAGATGCTTGGGGCCAGGTGCGGTGGCTTACGCCTGTAATCCCAGCACTTTAGGAGGACGAGGCAGGCAGATCACAAGGTCAGGAGTTCGAGATAAGCCTGACCAACATGGTGAAACTCCATCTCTAAAAAAAATACAAAAATCAGCTGGGCGCGGTGCTGCGCGCCTGTAGCTCCAGCTACTTGGGAGACTGAGGCAGGAAAATCACTTGAACCCAGGAAGCCGAGGTTTGCAGTGAGCCGAGATCGTAGGGAGCCGAGATCACACCACTGCACTCTTGGCAACAGAGTGAGACTCTGTCTCAAAAAAAAAAAAAGGTTTGTTTAGTAAAGAGATACAGAGTGTTGGTTCTGGATTCAGATTGCCTGGATTTCAATTCCAGCTCTGCCACTACTACCTGTGTAATCCTGAGCCAGTTACTCTTTCTCTGAGCCTCAGGTTACACCTCTGTAGAATAGGGACATAGTACCAGTTTCATAAAGTTGTTGTTACCATTGCATGAGACAAGGTATATGAAACACTCAAATTAGTACCTGGCACACATTGAAATGTTATCTACTACAGTAATATACTAAAAAAGTTCACAAGAGGTCTCATAGGTTTTATGCATATAGTATGTGTGTATGGTTTATGCACTTTCACCTAACCCTGTGATTCTTCAACGGGGTTATGTTTTTTAACCCCAAGAAGACATTTGGCAAGGTCCAGAGACATCATTGGTTGTCACTATCTGGGGAGAGGTGCTACTAACATCTACTGGGTCAGGCCAGGGATGTTTCTAAACACTCTACAATGCTGAGGACACCCCGCCCCCTTGCCAAAAACAAAAAAAGTAATCAGGACCCAAAATGTCAATACTGCAGAGTTGAGAAACCCTGATTTAAACAGGGCATGTGGAAACGTATTTCATAGGATGTAGTCACAAGATCTATATACACATATATCTTGTAGTCATGTCATAGACATATAGTCCACATACACACACATCTAGAATGTACTATGTACTTATATATGTATTATACAATGTACCTAGAGTAGCATCCTGTCATGTACGTGTCCCATATGCATTAATTGTGTCAATATCTACATACAAAAGCCAGTCTGACATACTGGAAAGAATGCTGAGCCTCAGAAAAGCTAATGTTATCTCCATATACATAATTCCATTTCATCCTCACAACTGCATGAGGATATATCATGCCAACTTTATGCAATGACTATACTATCAAGACTGCACAACTGCTGATGTAGGTCGACCTCACAGCACAGACAGGAACTGTGTTTATCTTATACGCCAATGTATCTCAAGCATCTCAAGGGTGTCTAGACTCTCAGTAAACATTTGTGAAGTGATAGCACTTTGGGAGACCAAGGAGGTCAGATCAACTAAAGCCAGGAGTTTAGGTGGTTAGGAGTTAGGCGAGGGGAGGAGTCAAAGTGGGGAGGAGGACCCAGGTCTAACTGCAGCACTGCGCTCCTAACCAGCAGATCGCCATCTTTTCTTTTCTTTTTTTTTTTTTTTTGAGACGGAGTTTCGCTCTTGTTGCCCAGGTGGGAGTGCAGTAGCACAATCTCGGCTCACTGCAACCTCTGCCTCCCGGGTTCAAGCGATTCTCCTGTCTCAGCCTCTCAAGTAGCTTGGACTACAGACGCTCGCCACCACGCCCGGCTAATTTTTTCTATTTTTAGTAGAGAGGTTTCACCATGTTGGCCAGGCTGGTCTCGAACTCCTGATATGAGGTGATTCGCCCGCCTCAGCCTCTGGGCTGGGATTACAGGCGTGAGTCACCGCGCCCAGCCAGATCGCCATCTGAATAGCGATCGAGTCACCACTCTCTAAGGCCCCTTAGAAGCAACTTCACCTCTCTGAGCCTCGTTGTACCTATCTGTAAAGTGGGACAGAAACAAAACCACCCATGCTAGGGTTAGAGAGAGGAGTCAAACACAACCAAAGGGGCAAAGTTCTGCATAACAGATAGCTCGGACAATTCGGAGACCTCGCGGAGCCAGGGATCCCGCGCCGTCAGCCGAGGTGGGTTAGGACCAGGCCTCTAGGGCAGGCAGAGGTTAACTCGCGGCTGTACGAAAACACGCAGCTCGGCCTAAGTGCGGGACCCCAGCGTTAGCAATCGCCACGACGTCCTTCCGCTCCGACCTCCTCGAGATCCCGTACGGAAGGGAAGTGGCTGACCCCATGCCGCGCAGCCCAATCGCGGTGCGCGGTCCTGCGCGCATGCGTAAACCGCGGGTCAGCGACGGCGGCCGGGAGGCGGAAGTGGAGGTTGTTGTGGCTCCGAGGGCTGTTCAAGGAGCTGCTGCTGCTGAGGCGGCGGCCACTGCGTTGAGGCGGTGGCGGGGCTGCCGGCCCCGGGCCGCTCGGCCTCTCGGCTCGCCTTCCAGCCTCGCCTGAGCCCGCCGGGGCCCGCGCCGGCCAGCGCCTGCCCTATGAGTGTGTCACTGATTGTCATCCGATTGGAGCTCGCGGAACACTCGCCCGTCCCCGCCGGCTTCGGCTTCAGCGCCGCGGGTGAGTCCCGCGGCCTCGCCACATTCCCTGTAGCCGGGTCTGGGTCCGGAGGGCTCCCTCTCCCAAAGTACTGGCCCGGGAAAAGCCCGCGGCTAGGGCTCTTGCCTCAGGAAGACATGGAGAGGTGATCAGGATCCCTCTCTTTCCCATCCACCCTTGAGAGGCCTTCCCGTTTGTTATCTCAGGGAAGCCCTGCCCCTGAACCTCCTTCCCTGTGCCGTCTGAGGGCATTCCGTTTATACCTGGCACGGCTCCCTCTCGAGAGAGTCGAGTGGTGTGTTTGTCTCACTTGCTTCCTTCTGGGCTTCGTAAAGGCAGGGACTGGGTCCCCAGCAACGCTGGACTGTCCCTGGATTAATTAAATTGTTCCCTTTTGGAAGGATATCCATTGAAGTGCCCCCTAACCATAGTCATAACTAAAATTTAGACACTCCCTATATCCCAACACTGTACTAAGCACCTTTTGTGTATTGTATTCTTTAATTATCTTTGCAACAGCTCTGAGAGGCAGATGGGTGTGGCATGTGCCTCTTACACATTGGGAAACTGAAGTTTAGTGATTTAAATCATTTGCCCAAGGTGAAATGATGGGTGAAACTGGGATTCTCACTCAGTGAGCTGGACTTGAGTCTGAGCTTTTCACATCAGTAACACAAGGAAGCTCCTTAGTGGGGAATGCAGCTCTGGCTCTGTTCCTTGGTCCTCAGATAATTAACTAATAATAACATTCATTCAATAAATACTTGGTCGGGCGCGGTGGCTCACACCTGTAATCCTAGCACTTTGGGAGGCTGAGGCGGGCGGATTACCTGAGGTTGGGAGTTCGAGACCAGCCTGGCCAACATGGTGAAACCCTGTCTGTACTAAAAATACAAAAATTAGCTGGGCGTGGTGACAGGTGCCTGTAATCCCAGCTCATAGAGAGGCTGAGGCAGGAGAATCACTTGAACCCGGGAGGTGGAGGTTTCAGTGACCCAAGATTGTGACACTGCGCTCCAGCCTGGGTGACAAGAGATAAAGTCCATTTCAAAACAAAACAAAAAACAAAAAAAAAACTTACTCTCATATTTGCTGGAGCTTTTATTGTGTGCTGAATCGGACAGGGTCTCTGCTTTAATGGCAGCAGCAGTTTCGTGGAGGAAACAGATTATTTAAATAAGTGCAGAATACGTGTAGAATTACAACTGTGGTAAGTGCTGTGAAGGAAAGGAGAAACAGTTTGGGAAACTATTACAAGAAGATGTGTTTGGTTTGGAGAGAGGGATGGGGTCAGGTAGAGATGGTGTCATTGGAAACTTTCTGAGGATATGACCTTTGGAGCTGCAAATTAAAGATTGAATATGATTTTATAGCTTATGAGCACCTTTCCAAAGGCTAAAAGTGGCTTCTGAGTTCTGAAAGTCAGCTGAATTGATATTAGCCGCATATAGACATCCGTGTGGGTCAGTCATGTAGTTATTTATTCATCAAATATTTAGAGAGCTTCCTCTATGTGCTCCGCACTGTGGTATAAGTGCTGGGAATACAGGGGTGGGCAAAACAGGCCTTGTCCCTGCCCTGACAGAGCCTATATTCGGGATATTTAAGTTAAGCCTCCAAATACCGTTTCCCTTTTCATGTGTTTCATTGATTTAAGACAGTAATCACAGATTTTCATGGTTTGCTTCATGGCATGAGCATAAGCCAGGATGTTTAAGACTACCCCTACAAGTTTTTGAAATTTTGTTTATTAATGGACTTGATATCTTCATTTTGGGCTGAACGCAATTTCATTTTATCAGGTGTTACTAAAATGTTAGCTCTTCTGGGCATGATCACTGTTGAACCTTCTCTAAGGCTCCCCCTTTGGCAATTTGCTTTAAAGTGCATGATTTCGGGCCAGGCGCAGTAGCTCACACCTGTTATTCCAGCACTTTGGGAGGTCAAGGTGGGCGGATCACTTGAGGCCATGAGTTCTAGATCAGCCTGTCCAACATGAAGCCCTATCTCTACTGAAAGTACAAAAATTAGCCAGGCCCGTGGTGGCGCGTGCCTGTAATCCCAGCTACTCGGGAGGCTGGGGCAGGAGAATCACTTGAACCTGGGAGGTGGAGGTTGTAGTGAGCCAAGATCACGCCACTGCACTCCAGCCTGGGTGACAGAGTGCGACTCTGTCTCAAAAAATAAAAATAAAGTGCATGATTTCAGAACAGCCCTGCATTTCTGAGTATATTGTCCTGGCTGCTTATTGACTGTTTGCTGGGTACTGCAGTGGTCCCAGAGGTGAGTGAGATGGATACTACAAAGGCTTTTTATCATCTTGGCGGAAGGCAGGAGAAAGAAAAGGGAAACCTAATGATGGAGGAATAGAGAACAGAGAGGAGCTTGTTTTATTACCTTGTATTAATCATTCATGTATTCTTTAGCCGGGGAAATGTCTGATGAGGAGATAAAAAAGACGACACTCGCTTCAGCTGTAGCTTGTTTAGAAGGGAAGTCACCAGGAGAGAAAGTAGCAATTATCCATCAGCATCTCGGCCGTCGAGAAATGACAGATGTGATCATTGAGACGATGAAGTCCAACCCAGGTATGCTTTTAAAACCCTGGACTCTCTTTTGTAATGTGAACCCTGCTTGCCTATTTTATACACGGTGTTTAATGAGCCTATGATTTCAACATCTAGCATACTTTTATCTTTCACTGCCTGGGTGCTTTATATGACACTGTTAAGTCACATTTTAGTGTTTCTAAATATTTCTTCCAAATTAATCCTAACAGTCAGGGTTGACAGTTCAGTTCAGTGCGGGGGGGACTTTTTTTTTTTTTTTGAGGCAGGGTCTCTGTTGCCCAGGCTAGAGTGCAGTGGTACAATGTCGGTTCACTACAACCTCTGCCTCCTGGGCTGAAGCAGTCTTCCTGCCTCAGCCTCCCAAGTAGCTGGGATTATAGATGCCCTCTACCACAGCTGGGTAATTTTTGTATGTTTAGTAGAGACAAGGTTTCACCATGTTAGCCAGGCTGGTCTTGTACTCCTAGTCTCAAGTGATCTGCCTGCCTTGGCCTCCCAAAGTGCTGGAATTACAGGTGTGAGCCACCACACCCGGCCACTGGGGAGAATTTCTTACCACCTAGTTCAGTGGCAGATCATTAATGTGTCCAAATAAACATGTTGTGCCTTCCCCTGCTTTGCTAGCTCATTTCTTTCTTTCTTTCTTTCTTTTTTTTTTTTTTTTTTTTGAGACGGAGTCTCACTTTGTCGCCAGGTGGGAGTGCAGTGGCACAATCTCAGCTTACTGCAACCTCCACCTCCCGGTTTCAAGCGATTCTCCTTCCTCTCTCAGCCTCCCAAGTAGCTGGGACTACAGGTGCACGCTACCACACCCAGCTAATTTTTGTATTTTTAGAAGACACAGGGTTTCACCATGTGGGCCAGGATGGTCTCAATCTGTTGACCTCGTGATCCGACCGCCTTGGCCTCCCAAAGTACTGGGATTACAGGTGTGAGCCGCTGCACCCGGCCAGCCAGCTCATTTCATCTGTGGAAGTGGATGTGTAGATAGTACTACATCTCCAACATGGAGGTGTTCAGAACTGGTAGGTTTGGATTTCAAACTTAGTAACCCTGCATGTTTGTCCCAGTTAGGATTTCATGATAGAAGACACCTGCTTGCATTATGGTATTGCCAAATGTAATAGCCATCCTTAAGTTTCTGAGGGTGTTAATGAGATTTTTATGGGGCAAAGAGAGCTTTAAAGTATGATACTCTCATAAACTCAGCTGTTCTATAAGTAATAGCTCTAAATGCATTACATTATAATTATCAAAGTTTATTCCTCTGACTTGAAATTTTAATCTAGTTCAAGTCCTTGAGCATGTGTCCTATCCATTTATAATCTGCTATTTTTTAATTGGTGAAAGATGAACTAAAAACTACAGTGGAAGAAAGGAAGTCTTCAGAAGCCTCCCCCACTGCACAAAGAAGTAAAGATCACAGTAAGGAATGCATAAACACTGCCCCAGATTCTCCATCCAAACAGCTTCCAGACCAGATTTCATTCTTCAGTGGAAATCCGTCAGTTGAAATAGTTCATGGTATTATGCACCTATATAAGACAAAGTAAGAAAATCGTTTTTTCTTGGGGGTTAGTCTAATTTTTTTTTTGCTTTAGTGTAATCTCTTGCCCTGAAGGAAAGTGGGTATTTTAAGGTTCAAAATAATACTTTTGTGTATTGTGTGTTAGAGAATTCTCAGATGTTTTACATTTGATTAATCTTGTGGATTGGGTCAAAGCTTTTCCCTATAAAAGAAGTGCCTATAAATACACTTAAGGGAATATGTGGGGAAAATGTTCTCTTTTTTTCTGTTTTGAAACGGAGTTTCGCTCTCGTTGCCCAGGCTGGAGTGCAATGGCGCGATCTCGGATCACTGCATCATCTGCCTCCTGGGTTCAAGTGATTCTCCTGCCTCAGCCTCCCAAGTAGCTGGGATTACAGGTGCCCACCACCACACCTAGCTAATTTTTTGTATTTTTAGTAGAGATGGGGTTTCACCATGTTGGCCAGGCTGGTCTTGAACTCCGACCTCAGGTGATCGCCCGCCTCAGCCTCCCAAAGTGCTGGGATTACAGGCGTGAGCCACTGCACCCTGCCAAGAAAATGTTCTGTTTTGTTTTGTTTTGTTTTAAGACAGAGTCTCGCTCTGTCGCCCAGGCTGGAGTGCAGTGGCTGGATCTCAGCTCACTGCAAGCTCCGCCTCCCGGGTTTACACCATTCTCCTGCCTCAGCCTCCCGAGTAGCTGGGACTACAGGAGCCCGCCACCTCGCCCAGCTAGTTTTTTTGTATTTTTTAGTAGAGATGGGGTTTCACCATGTTAGCCAGGATGGTCTCGATCTCCTGACCTCGTGATCCGCCCGTCTCGGCCTCCCAAAGTGCTGGGATTACAGGCTTGAGCCACCGCGCCCGGCCAGAAAATGTTTTATTAGCAGATAGGCATGGAAGGTGATGGGGAATTGAAAGGACAAAGAAAATGATCCACAGCATCTTTGTAGTCTCATGTCCCCACCAAATCTTTACTGAAGAGGCTGCTAAGAAGTCAGTTAACTCATTTCAATTTTATTACCTCTTTTTACCATTTTCTGTGGTTCAAATAAAGCTTGCTGGAGCCCCAAGGAAAGGAAGCATTTGGCTAGATAATCCACAAGCCCAGCCACTACCTCCTTGGGTTATCAGTGGCTGATACCTTAAAGCCGTTCTTGTGCTAACTCATTTGCCGGATCCCTACTGGGAAAACAGTGACTATTCAGGTAGCCATTTTGTTTTTTGTTTTGTTTTGTTTTGAGACAGAGTCTCACTCCGTCACTCAGGCTGGAGTGTAGTGGTGCAATCCAGGCTCACTGCAACCTCCTCTCCCGAATTCAAGCAATTCTCCCACCTCAGAGTAGCTGGGACCACAGGTGCACACCACCATGCCCAGTTAATTTTTTTTTATTTTTTTATTTTTGGTAGAGACGGGGTTTCATCATGTTGGCCAGGCTGGTCTCAAACTCCTGACCTCAAGTGATCAGCCCACCTCAGCCTCCCAAAGTGCTGGGATTACAGGTGTGAGCCACTGCGCCCAGCCCAGGTAGCCATTCTGGATCACAACTGTCAAGTGAGTTTTACAGCATTTTAAAAAACAAATTGCATTGTGGGAGGATTTTCTTTCCTCTCTATTCCAGCTATCCCAACTTGGTAACATTTCCTGTAATACTCAGTTACATCCTCATAGTTTAGAATTCTCTCTTGCTGGGCGTGGTGGCACACGTCTGTAATCCCAGCTACTTGGGAGGCTGAGGCAGGAGAATTGCTTGAACCCAGGAGGCAGAGGTTGCAGTGAGCCGAGACCGTGCCATTTCTCTCCAGCCTGGGCAGCAAGAGCAAGACTCCATCTGAAAAAAAAAAAAGAGAGAGATAGAGAACTCTCTTATATTTAGAGCTCTTTTTTTAGGCCCTTTAAGAGAGGTCCATAGCCAGAGTTGTGCTTTTAAGTTAATCAGTGACAGACATTTTTTTTTTTTTTGAGACGGAGTCTTGCTCTATCGCCCACGCTGGAGTGCAGTGGCGCGATCTGGCTCACTGCAAGCTCCACCTCCCATGTTCATGCCATTCTTCTGCCTCAGCCTCCCAAGTAGCTGGGACTACAGGCACCCGCCACCAGGCCCGGCTAATTTTTTGTGTGTTTTTAGTAGAGATGGGGTTTCACCATGTTAGCCAAATGGTCTCGATCTCTTGACCGCATGATCTGCCTGCCTCAGCCTCCCAAAGTGCTGAGATTACAAGCATGAGCCACCGCGCCTAGCCACCAGTGACAGATTATTATTCAAACATAGATAAGAGTAAAACACTGCAAATTTGCCTAATGCAGATTTCTAACCATAATAAACATTGAAGTGAAGATTAAAAAGTCCAGTGGGGGGGTATAATGTAGAACAATTCATTAATGAAATATTAAAATTTTATTTTTTCCTGTTTTCTTGGACATAAAAGTTGTCTGCTGTTGTTTAACCATACCTCATCTATTTACGACCCTCTAATTACTGTTTTGTTAGTAAGATGACCTCCTTAAAAGAAGATGTGCGGCGCAGTGCCATGCTGTGTATTCTCACAGTCCCTGCTGCAATGACCAGTCATGACCTTATGAAGTTTGTCGCCCCATTTAATGAAGTAATTGAACAAATGAAAATCATCAGAGACTCTACTCCCAACCAATATATGGTGCTGATAAAGTTTAGTGCACAGGTAAAAGTTATTAAAGTTATTAAAAATCTCTTTGCCACAGAAACTGTGTTATTGAAACTGTATGATAGTAGCTGTTGTGATTTACGGCATTTTGCACTTAAGATTCTTGATATGTCTTCTAAGATATAATTCTAATTCTAGATGTATTTCTAAATTCATTAGCAGAAATACAATTATAACGTATACCCATGGTATTTTTATTTATTTTTTTTATTTTTTTCCAGTAGAGATGAGATCTTGCTATGTTTTCCAGGCTACTCTTGGCCTCAAGCAGTCCTCCTGCCTTGACCTCCCAACGTTCTGGGATTACAGTTGCTCTGAGCCACTGCATCTGGCCTTATGCCCATGATTTTTTATAGATCAGATTCGGTATGAAATCTAAGGTTTTGCCAGGAGACAGAGGTTGCAGAAAGCTGACATCACACCACTGTACTCCAGCCTGGGTGACAAGAGTGAGACAACGTCTCAAAAAAAAAAAAACAACCCTAGTTGTTTTTTTTTTTTTCTTTTTTGAGACGAAGTCTCACTCTGTCACCCAGGCTGAGTGCAGTGGTGTGGTATTGGCTCACTGCAACCTCCGCCTCCCGGTTTCAAGCAATTCTCCTGCCTCAGCCTCCTGAGTAGCTGGGACTACAGGCATGCACCACCATGCCTGGCCAATTTTTGTATTTTTTTTTTTTTTTTTTTTTGAGACAGAGTCTCGCTCTATCGCCCAGGCTGGAGTGCAGTGGCCGGATCTTGGCTCACTGCAAGCTCTGCCTCCTGGGTTTACGCCGTTCTCCTGCCTCAGCCTCCCAAGTAGCTGGGACTACAGGCACCCGCCACCTCACCCGGCTAGTTTTTTTGGTATTTTTTAGTAGAGATGGGGTTTCACTGTGTTAGCCAGGATGGTCTCGATCTCCTGACCTCATGATCCGCCCGTCTCGACCTCCCAAAGTGCTGGGATTACAGGCTTGAGTCACCGCGCCTGGCCAATTTTTGTATTTTTAATGCAGACGGAGTTTCACTATGTTCGCCAGGCTGGTCTCGAACTCCTGACCTCGTGATCCACCCGCCTCAGCCTCCCAAAGTGCTGGGATTACGGGCATGAGCTGTCATGCCCGGCCTGCTTGTTTTTTTAAACAAGTGGTAACTATTCCAGAAAAGCAGTAGTTCCCAAACTTTTTGAAGTTAACACCATCTTATTATTTTCCATTAACCCCACTTCTTTCATTTTCTTTTTTTTTTTTTTTTTTTTTTTGAGACAGAGTTTAGCTCTTGTTGCCCAGGCTGGAGTGCAATGGTGCGATCTTGGCTCACAGCAACCTCTGCCTCCCAGGTTCAAGCCATTCTTCTGCCTCAGCCTCCGAAGTAGCTGGGATTACAGGCATGCACCACCACGCCCGGCTAATTTTGTATTTTTAGTAGAGACGGGGTTTCTCCATGTTGGTCAGACTGGTCTCGAATTCCAGACCTCAGGTGATCTGCCCGCCTCGGCCTCTGAAAGTGCTTGGATTATAAGCGTGAGCCACCGTGCCTGGCCTCATTGTCTTTTTAATGAAGTGGAAGAGTGTACCTGTTCTGTGAGCCCCAGAGAGAAGCTTTAGTGTGGAGTTCTGTCTACAAGAGAGTACACAGTTAATATGTTTTATCTTTACAAAGTACCCTATCATTTAGGGAGACATTTAAAACACGTTTCAATTATCCTGTAGATTTAAAGTTTACAAGTTGACATTAAGAACAGAAAAGCACTTGAATAGCTCCTTTCACTGACCGTCAGAAAGCCTTCCAGGGTTGCCAAGGAGCTTTGCAAACCATGAGAAAATCCTGCCTTGAGCCATTTCAGTCTGGTAGCACATGTAATAATAAGGATAACGATGATAATATCCAGCGTTTATCGATGGCTTCTGTATCACTCACTATGCTAAGTGTTCAATACACTTTGTCTCATTTAATCCTCACTACAATCCCTTGCGGAAACGGTATTGTTATCCTTGTTTTACAGATGTGGGGGGTGACTGCAGAGGGAGATAAGTGGTTTGCCCAGGGTTACATAGTTAGACATAAATGGCAAGCAAGAGTGGCATCCTCACTTTTAGTTCCAGGGACGCGTTCCTCTTCTAGTAGGAAGTGGGATGAAGGTGTGGGGAAGGGAGGCAGTTGGTTGTGAGACATTCGATGACAGCAGTATTGTTATAGTTTCTACTTAACAACTAGGGCAATAAGCAAATAACAAAGGAAAAGACCCAGACAAAAATGTTCAAGAACATTTAGGCTTTTAAAATAGTCTGAAGTCTTACAAATGCACCACACTCACCTGTTTAATAAACCCACACAGTTCCCTATAACAAGTACTGCCCTTCGTAATGTGCAGGTAATACTGTGAATATTTACTGTGAATGGATTTTCCTTGTATTTCTGCACTGTCCTTCCCCTTCTGTCTTTTGATCAAGTGAAGGTTGCTCAAGTTGACAGATGTTTTTCTGTGACTGTGAAACAGGTTGCTGCACGTTCTTCCCCATGGGGCTAGAGCCCTTTATCTTGGTATCATGAGTTGTATTGTTTATTGCTAACTCTGGATCTTAGGGACTGATCCCTATCATCCCATCAAGGATTTTCTAAGACCTAATAATACCCTCTTGGTGTAAGACTGGAAGTTCAACTAATATCGACTGTAATGAGAATAGTGGGCTCAGTAGCTACCAACTATGAGGCACTTACTAGAGACCGGATCCTGTGCCAAGTGCTTTCCATGCATTGTCTCCTTGAATTCTCTCAACGATGCCATGTTGGCTGGGTGCAGTGGCTCATGCCTTTAATCCCGGCACTTTGGGAGGCTGAGGTGGGTAGAACACTTGCGGGCAGTGGTTTGAGACCAGCCTGGCCAACATGGCAAAAGCCCATGTCTACTAAAAATACAAAACTTAGCTGGATGTGGTGGTACATGCCTGTAATCCCAGCCACTTGAAAGGCTGAAGCAGAAGAAACGATTGAACTTGGGATGCAGAGGTTGCAGTGAGTCAAGATCACACCACTGCACTCCAACCTGGGCAACAGAGCGAGACTGTCTCAAAAAAAAAAAAAGATGCCGTGTTTTTTACAGTTGAGGAAACAGGCACAGATATGTCACTTGCCCACAGCTAAACAGCTAGTAGGTGTCAGAGTTAGGGTTCAAACTTGGGCAGCCTGACTCCATAGCCTGGGCAGCTAACTATGTTTTTATTCTTTTCCTCACCACAGATTTTTAATTAAGGACTCATAAGCCTTCTCTGTATCTTTGGCAATTTTTGAATTTCTGTTGGCCTTAGCTTTAGCTGGAAGAGTTGTGAGGCCAGGTGTGGTGGCTCATGCTTGTAATCCCAACACCTTGGGAGGCCAAGACAGGAGTATCGCTTAAGGCCAGGGGTTCAAGACCAGCTTGGGCAACATGGCAAGACCCTGTCTCTTAAAAAATTTTTTTTAAAAGATAAAAAAAAAAAAAAAAAAAAAGCAGGGGGGTTGTGCTTACAAACTTGTAGTGTGACCGTTAGGAAACTTGGTCTTTGGGTAAAGAATTAACAATTCTTCAGGACATAGGAAAAGCAGAAGGAAGTTCAATTTTGTTGATTTGGGGGGCAGAAAAGGACAGATGACCACTTAATAGAGTATGTTGGCTCCTTTTCACATGCATGCTTAGTTACCACAGCCTTAGCAGACGCCTCCTTGGAGAAGTAGAGGTATGTTCTCAACTCTGTAGTTGATTCCTGTGACAGTGAAGGACCTTGATCATAATGGATTTGTCTTTTTCTGAGTTCATCCTCAGAAGAGAACAATAAAACCAAAAGACTAGAAGGAAACAAAAGCCAGGTTTCTTTAAAGTTTTGGGTCCATACAATGCAAACATTTTCAATAAAAGCTGTTTCTTCTATGTTCTTTGCAGTTAGCTTCAGGCTTTTGTTTAGTGCGTTTAGGTGGTGAGTTGAAGTAGATACCATATGAATTTTGTTCCCTATTCTCTACCTAATACATGGCACAGGGCCTGGCACATACCAGATGCTCAGAAAATACATAAACAGGAGAAGGTACATTTCTAATACCAAGATTTTAAAGAAGAGATCAATATGTTAACTGGGAAATCTCAGCTGTGTAGTGATGTTGTCGTTTCAAAAAAGTACTTTTTTTTTTTTTTTTTACTTTTTTCATTTCTGCCACAATCATCCTAGTTTAGGCCACCATGGCGACTCACTTGCATGCCTCTTTTCCTTTTTTATTTTATTTAATTAATTATTAATTTCTTTATTTACTTGGAGACAAGGTCTCGCTCTGCTGCACAGGCTGGAGTGCAGTGGCACGATCTCGGCTCACTGCAACTTTCACCACCTCCTTTGGGGGCTGAGGTGGGAGGGCTCAAGTGATCCTCCCACCTCAGCCCCCAAATAGCTGGGACTACAGGCTTCCGCTCCCATGCCCGGCTAATTTTTGTATTTTTTGTAGAGATGGGGTTTCCCCACGTCACTTAGGCTGGTCTCACACTCCTGGGCTCAGGTAGCAGAAAGGAATAATTCATTGAATGGTTTTGGTCACATGTCTTATCCTTTCCTCTGAGGAGGCCTGGTCATTTACTGAGCATTTGCAGAGCTTAGACCCCAGGAGGTCTCTGCCAGCCCCTGGTGGTGCCTGAGGCTCTGAAGAGATGAGAGAAGGCCCTGACTTTCAGACAGTCGGTTTTCTCCTGGTGAATCCATGTGCTGATCTTGCTGCTTACTCAGCCAAAAGCATTTCAAGAAGAAGCTGTTGCTCCTGAAGAATGGGGGAAGCCATATTAGGTTGTAACCTCTTAGTATTAAAGAGGCTTCTTGTCCAACAGCTGGCATAAAACATTTTGAAATTAAAATGCGCTATGCTCAATACACTGATTATTTCCTTAAGTAAAGCCTCTCCACCCCAACCTGCCGCCAATTTGCCCCTCCAAAATAAAAGTACATTCAGAATTGATCACCCTTCCTCAGCTGCTTAGCTCACTTGGTCATGTTAAGAAAGCA